CACTTTAAGGTGAAGGTTGTTTTAGTTCCACTTGTGAGGATAGTTGTCTACATGTGATGTTCAGTTTTGATATGAACCTGCCAACATTGCACAACAAGACTTGGTAGTCGTCCGGATTGCACAGCTGTTTGGAGGAATTGGTATCAGTATATGGGATGATTAGCAGCAAAGGTTACAGCATACAGCATGGGTTTTATTCAGACCCGTCGGCAATGACCAAAATGGTGGCGCAGGCTCTTGTGATTATCAAAACTAGGAGATTCGCTTAATGACAATGTTCTGAGGTCAGACGAAGGCCAGTGGGTTGTCTTAAAAAAAACTGGTACTATTGAACTTTCAAGCTAGTAAAGTTATGGAGCATGCTCTGTTGAAGAATTCTGAGAAGGTTCACCGAGGAACTGCTCACGAAAACAAACAAAAAAGCAGTAGCTTTGTACGTCCTCTTACTGAAACTTTGAGTTTTTACCCCATTTTGAATTATCCAACTATGGAAATCATTTTCTGAATTCCTCTGCTATGAAATCATACATTTGCATCCTTTCTCAAACACAACACGATAGTCTTGTCTTAGTTGCATGATTCATTATGTTCTGATTTCATTCAACATGATACCTGATCTCTTACCAGAATTAATAGGTGAGTTTGGAGTCTATTCAATCTTCACCTTTAAATTTTCATGATTTTTTTTTTTTTTTTTTTTTTTTTGTGTGTAGCTAGATGTGGTGCTTCATTGAAACGGAAGATCACACAAGTATGCACAACATGATTTAAATCGTAACAATAAATAACAGCTAACTGTCAGCTCAAAGGAATACACAAGCCATGATACAAATGTTAGAACTTTTATTAGTTTTGTAAAGTATGTGTCTTTTAAATATCATTATTTTATGGTTTAAAGTGCAATATATTATTATTATATAATAAAATTAAATAAATAGATGCAATTTTTTTTGTACTTTGGAGAATAAAAATAAACTGAGAATTTTGAGATCAATTCTTTGCCTCAAATGTAATCAACAATAGCGGCTTTTGTTTTGTTATAAGAATCAGTGCTACGTACATATATACATGTTAAGGGATTTTTGTTAGTTAGTTTTATTGTATATTTAATGACAGGAAATCAGGGCATAATGAATCTATTAGATGCATTGAGTATATTAGACATATTTTTTTTATGTTCATCTATAAAGAAGACAAATTTTAAGTATTGAATCTCATCTTATTATAAATTTTTAAATTAGATTCTTTATGTAAGATTAGAAAGAGATATTATTTGCATATCAAGTTGTATTATTCTAGTGATTAGAAGCAAAATGTTTCTAGGATAAAACATATATAAAATAAAGCTAAAAAAGACCTTACAAAATTATTATTTAAATACAACAACTTTTGAAGGTTAAATCTCAACAAATATAAGATATATATATAAATTAATATAAAAGTTTTAAAAATTTTGTATATTAATTTATATACAACAAATACAAGATTTCAAATGATTATAATTTAGCAAAAAAATTCAAATAATATATTTATAAATGCCAGTTGAAGATATTCAAGTCAACTAGTTAAATTGACTAATTTTTTTTTACAAAACAAATCTACAGGAATCAGCATGGAAATCAACTGAAGTTAGGCCAAGTTGAGAGTATTTGTATAACAGTGTTGTTGTAAGAACAATGTTGAGACTTATTTATAAGTATCTTATCTTGTGGTAGTAGCTAAACAAGATGTAGAAAAACAGGGGTAGATATACAAAGGTATGTTTATTACATGATGTTTATCTGGTGGATCTCACATTTGATTACTTCAATTTTTTCTAGTTTGTTTGTCACTGTAGAACCAGGTATTTCTTTATTTGAGTGTGAATCTTAAAAGATCTTGCAAACACAATTTTTTAGGTCTTCACATAAATTTGTCCAGCATCTGTAGTTATTGTGACTGTTCAAACATCTTATGTATTTCAATGGAATTTGTTAAACTTGCATCCAGGATCTTTCTCATGCTCTATGAAGACATTGTTGATCTGAAATGCTGCATTTAACACAAGTTGTGGCTCCCATCTCAACTATGAAAATTTACATGAGAATGGCAATGATGATGTTATTCTTTGTGAGGACATTGTTGCTTGAGACACACTGTGTGGCTATTGAATCCAACATTATTAAGTAATTTGGTGCTAACAAGGAACAGATTGTGGGACAGGCAGTTGCAAAAATTGAGTTTCAAAGGGTCCATTCACAATTTCTAAGCAGTTATCACTTTGGGAGCTATGTACAAACTCATTCCAGTCCCTTTGCATTGTTTGTGTGTTTCAATGCCAAAGTACAGATCAGTCTACATGAATCTATGGGTTGGATGAAAGCATTTGCAAAAAAATGATTCTAAGAACTACCTGCCTTTACTGCATATGATTTCTGTAAGTCATGTTTAATTTTGTAGAAGTTAAAGACTCCTTCCTTTTGACAAGAATTGGAAACACTGAATATGGAACAAACAATAATCACATTGCAAAACCATCTAATGATTGCAATTGCTTTAAAGCCACTAATTAAGGCTTTGATAGCGTTGAAATTCTGAGTTTGTGGGATTAGAGACCTAGAAGCTTGATTGGTTCATTGTCAGTAATATGATGCTAACAACCAAGCTAACCACAGCCGGAAAAAAAAAAAAAAAAAAAAAAAAAAAAGAAAAAAAAAAAAGGCATTATTATCAATTTTGTAGACTTTGTCTGTAATTGCAAAGCACTGAGTTTGTTTCCATGATTCCTCTTGGATTGCAAGAACTTCAATAAGAGGGATTGGAATTGTTATCTGCTACAACAAATGATTTGGTCTGTTTGTTTGGTTTCATTTCAAGAGGAGATTCCAGGAAGAAAATCAAAGTAAATTTATTTGAAACAAGCAGCATGCATAAATTTGAGAGTTGAAAACAAATACCTCTTATAAGAAAATTAAACTACATGCATTTTAAACTTCCAATAATTTTTTCTCATTTCTTTGATTTTGATTTTGATTTTTCATTGTGATCATTGTATTTTTTAAATTTGTTAACCGTAAAATACAAAAAGGGAACAAAAAAAATGCATTAGTTTATTATGTAATGTGGAAATTTGAAGCAATCTTTTTTTTTGATATTGCATATTTTAAATAATGAAAATGAACCTATTTAGAAATTTTACTTTATTTTATTAAAAAAACTCATTTTTTACTTTACATGTCCATGTTGCTAGTGTTTATGATATCAAATTAATTTATAAACAAAAAAAATTAATCATTTTTAATAAACCAAAAAAATAAAATTCCACTTGATTTTGAACAAAAATTAATGATAAGACATATTTTATACAACATTAATGATAAGACTAATTTTGAACAATGAACTAATAAACACACTGATTTTTAAACAATGAATTATTGATAATGCATGTTTTATAAGAGCAATCAACCACAACACCAAAAAAATTAAAAAATAATTAGTTACATGTAACAAGAACCTAAAAAAATGCAAAAGAACCTTCTAGAACTTAAGGAATGCATGGAAACACATGGGAACTTGAAGAACTCATGGAAATGCATGGGAATCCATAGAAACTCACAAGAATACACAAGAACATTTTTTGGTACTCAATGGCACAAATTTCTACTTTTTCCAAATATAAATAAGATCTTATATCCTAAAAAAAATAAATATTAAAATACCACCATAAATATAGTTTATTTAAAAGTTTTTTTTAACTAAGTTATTTAAGTTGTAGTAAATAAAAATTGTGTTTTTCAATTACACTGTAGAACATAAATGGTTCCATTGTTATGCATATATTCTTTTTTCAATATTCTTTTTTCTTTTCTTTTTTGCTTGATCAACATTTTTTTTAGGAGTGGTCAATTTTTTACTAAAAAATCACAAATTAAACTTTCACAATTTTTTTGTGGCCAACAGCATAGATTTCCACTAGAAAACATATATATATATATATATATATATATATATATATATATTATTTTGGTGCATAAGTATTTGTAAATTCTATTAAACTTTTCAAGAGATGAATAAAGTCATTGTATAATTTTTTTAATCCATCTTTAAAGATAAATTAAATAGTAATAAGTTGTTGTGGGGTTTTTAAGCATTACAAAGAGATAAATAGTGAAATTTAACAAATATTTTTCATAAAAACATTAATTATTATACAATGTGGTACAGCATTTGTAGATTAAGAAACAAAGTGTGTTAATTATACAGTATTGTAGAATGCTATTATGAACCACTTTTTAAGTGGAGACATATAAGAATGACCTTCAAGGAAAAATGTGGTTATAAAGTTGTTATTAAAAGAAGGATTAAATTAAACTTTACAATGCTTGTCATACCACCATTAATTTGGAAATAACTTAATCTTGGTCTCTAATATTTTTTGTTTTCAAAAATATTCTAATAATAACAAAACCTTCTCAGAAGTAGAAGGAAAAAAAAAAAAAAAAAAAAAAAGAAAAAGAAAGAGAGAGAGAGAGAAAGAGAGAAACTCAGATCGAAACTCTTCTTCTTTTTTCTTTTTTCTTTTTTCTTTTTTTAAACAACAAGAAAGACAACACGCTATGCTTTAGTTAGTAAAATCTCATAACAAGTTTGAATCTAAATATAAGAGAAAATTTTAAATGCTTGAAAATTAAACTCATTCATCGAATTTCCTTAATTTTTCTTTGAACCAAAAAATTTCGCCTTAAAATAAACATAAAACTAAGTAAAAATATATGTTTTTTATTTATAAATAACTTAGGGCTTCACTCAGCATTTCCGGGCAGGTAAAAAATATGATCAGCCCGCTCGGGCAGGGATGAAGCGGGTAAAGGCCCTGGGTCGCGAACCTGCCCGGAATTACCCTAATATTGTTGCTGGTGGCATCAAAGAGATGAAGAGCATCCACAGGACAGAAAAGAGAGACGAATGTGTACCATTCATCCACGAGGGGCGAATGTTGTACTGGTTGAACGAGAGTTGTTTGTAACACCGCATGAGGAAGAAGGCCAGGCCTGGTGTATTGTGATGTTGAAGCTCTCGCCCCCTTCTTCCCCTCACTATCGTTTCGTCGTCGATCATTCCACTCAGCACCCAACTCAATTCGCAACATTTCTAACTATTCCCAGTTTGCAGATATCATTTGTGTTCCGCGAGGAAGTTGCACATTGGGGTTCAGTTTTTAGGGTTTCGTGTGGATTGTATATACTGCGCAGAGTGTAGAATTGGACAGCAACAGCAGCAGGTGGAGCAAGATGGTTGTCGCTGCATCTAGCAGCGGCACTTCCAAGGCACGTTTCATCTCACGCACTGACTCTCGTGTGTGTGTGTGTGTGTGTGTTTTTGTTTTAAAAAAATAAAAATAAAATTGTTTTTTTTTTTTTTTTTTTTTTTTTTTTTTTTTTTTTTTTGTTGCTGTTGTTGTTGTTGTTAGGGTCCATTCAGTATCAGTGGTGAATCCACCTTAGATAAGGGGATCATTGTTAGGTTCCACTTTGTTGGTTTTTTTGGGTCTCAATGAAGAATTCATATGATCGGTGCTGGGCTTAGCTGATTCCATGAATTTGGCGTGGTTTTCAGCAATTGGAGAAGCTTGAGAAGAGGGTTCACGAGGGGAACTACTATGAGGCTCAACAAATGTACAAGACTATCCACTCCAGGTAGCGCTTGCACTCGAATCTGGTGCTTTCATGCTGGTACTTTCATAGAGAGATCGCTTGTGTTGGACCGTTTCCAGATCGTTGATTTGATGGGGGACTAGTAGGTGAATTCTGAACCACATCTTATCCTCCTCCTTTCAAATCGATCATCTCAACTGTCTAGGAATTTGTTCCCTGGATAGCATAAATCGTCGTTCCGATCTTTGTGACTGTAGACTTGGTCGGAACTAATGGCCGGCATTCAATGTTTTGGATTTGCAAATTTGTGAATCCAAAGTTGTTTGTTTGTTTATTGTTTGGAAGATGTTCAAAATTCTCTTGGTGTTTTCAGTTTTATGCTGATTTGTGGTGAAATACGGATGAGTTCACTGACCTAAGGACAAGCTAATTGGTGCATCTGCGGGGCTGTCTGGTGCCTTTTCATGGTTTTCCGTGTAACGAGGTGGGTTGGTCGCTGTGCATGTTGCTAGATACATGCATGCCAAGAAGTACAACGAGGCTATTGAACTCTTGAACTCTGGTGCAGTAGCGATGCTCAATCATGGGGAGGTATCCATTCACCCCCGATTTCCACTGTGGTACATATCGAATGAAATATAAAATTAACGGAATGAATAGGGTAAGAAGGTTATGAAGCTATCATATATCATCGACCGATGTTTGGGCGATTAGATCAGTATGAAATAAAAAATTTAGCTTTTGTCTAGCGGGGCTGCCTCAAATGATATCACGTTGTTCCAAATGCAGGTCACGTGTGGGACAGAGCTTGGTGTGCTTTTGATACAGACTTTCAATGTAGCAAAATTACCTTTTGATAGCTCTACACTGGGTATGCACATATCTTCTGTCTCTAATGGTCATTTAAATAGTGGTTGAAACTTTTTCAATTTGCTACCGTTGTCTATGGCGCTTCTTACTTTCGTTTGAATACGCTGGGCATTATATTTTGTTTTTCTGTTTGTGAAATTTCTAAGTCTATTTTCTATTATTTTATCTTTAGGTTATTTATGGTTGTTCTTGTTTTTGTGCCAGATCAAATAAGAACAATTTATAATGCATATCCACGGACTGCTGGTACTCGACAAGAGAAATCTTCCAGCAATGACACGAGTAACTTAGGCGTAGAATCTTCTGAGGCCGCAGTTATTGCAAAGACCCGTGTGGAGGGATGCACATCGTTTCTACGATCAGCTCTAAAGTACAGATTTTTGTTTTTGTGAAAACTTTTGACCAGTTACATCTTCGTTTGTTAACTATTTTTTTATTTACAGTTAAGTACTTTTCAAGCCCGCGATCTCATTTTCCGTCACAATGAAGCTCACTGACATTGTTATTCACTGTTACCTTCTGCAGGTGGTCGATAGAGACCGGAGGCTTTCCTAGAGGTGCTCCTGAGTTGCATGACATGCTCGGTGAATACATTTGGACTGAATCTCCCCACCCCGTATGTGTACTATACGAAGATCCTATGAGTTTCTCTTGTGAATTCCTGCTAATGGCCTCTTCGTTCTCTTAAGCAACAATGACGTTTAGATGCATTCAAATGACATTTTATTTTTTTGCTTAATAAATGAAGAGAACCATTTGGCACTTTGCAGGGCATCCACCTGGCACGAAATATTGAAAGTAGTCATAAGTTTGGAGAATGTTTGTAATAAGTAGTATATGTATGTTAAGCAACAAATTTTCGGTATCCTGCTTTGCTGGAGCAGTGTTTGTGCTTTAGAACATGAACTATTGAGAGTATTCGTTGACATCTTTGTGTTCGGATATTTATCAATTATTTAGAGCTCAAAAGCTCTGTGATGATGTAAAATCAGCTTTCCCAGGCTGAATCTGCTTGTTGCATTTCTATTTTTGATATTTGGGTACTTTTTCTGCAGGAAACGATGAAAGCATCACAACATTTTGTGCGAGGGAACCAGCCTGAGACATTCGCTAAAGTAGTGGTTGAGTGCATGGACAAGGTACTGCTCATCAATTCATGACTAATCGCTTACATGCCTTGAAGCATTTTAACGTGCTCAAGGAGTTGTATTTTCTGTAGCTACATGTAGCTGCTTCTTTCTATTTGTATATGCTCCTCCTCCGGGTGTTAGTATCGTCATCTAAAAATCTCGACCTCCAACGCTGAGCTTAACTGGTCTTTAATGTGCACTTCGTGCCAGTTTCCCTTTCCCTTTTGTGTATTAAAACCTATTTCGTGGAAGGTCTTCTCTCTTATTTTGTAAGAGCTCTTCACGATTACCATTATATTGTTGTTGTTTTCTAATGTTGCAGTGCTATCCTGGCGAAGCAGATTTGGTGGTTGCAAGGGCCGTCTTGTTGTAAGTCTTCCACTTAGGCACCTCTCTTACTCTTTACTGTAATTCCTTCACTTAGGTTCTCACAAATTGCTGCTTATTGTGCAGGTATTTATCTCTTGGTAACTTGAGAGATGCTAATCGCCTTTGGGATTCTGTAAGGCAGAGACTTAGCGACAGTTCTCAAGAACTTCCGGATACACCACTGCTACACTTCATCAAGTTCCTTCTTTTAACGTATGGGACATGTTATGCCTTGTCTGTCGTGCTTTTAAGGGCTCGCTTTTGGTCTAGGCGTTGACGCTTTTAGCAATGCCTTTTACTTCTGCATTATTATGAAGCTGTTTGGTTGTGCGAAGCGTGTTACGTAAGTTTTATTGATATCTCAATGTAACGCACTCAAATATATATTTTCTCGTATTGGGTGTGTATTCAGGCTTGAGAGAGATGCGTTACCGTTGTTCAAGATGCTTCGGCAAAAGTACAAACCTAGTCTCGATCGTGATACTTCTCTTGATGAGGTACTTCTTGAGTCATGTTAGAAACGCGTATTTTTGTATTGAATATCAGATTTTGTGCTGTGTCTACAGTAGATCTTCTATCCATATGTGGGAATCACTGTCTGAGTACTCTCTGGGTTTATTCGTTTGATCATGTTCATTTGATAGGTATTTTATTATTATGATGATTATTATTGTTATTAATATTGTTATTGTTCCCCTTTCAAACTTACATTTGCATTGAGAATGCAGTACTTGGATGAGATAGGAGAGCGTTTTTTTAACTTACAACGAAGGAGTGGTGTACAAGGCATGCTTGGTGATTTTATGAGGGTATGCATTAGACTTGACTTATTCCTATCATGTCAAATTCTTTTGGTGCCACTTATCAAAAACTACATCGGATTTCTCTTTACCTTTTCTAGTGATTGTTGGGGTTTGTTTCTGTTCGCAACGTGCCTTGGATGATTTTAGAGCCTTTGAAGTTGTCTACTTGAAAGGATGAGTGTTCTTACCATATCAGATTCTTTGCTTCTGACTGTTGTCGTGAAGCTGAGAAGAATACCACCTAGTATTTATGAGTAGAATTTCTAGACAGTTTTTACTTAGGGGGTTAGGTAATTTGTTTTTGTTGGTCATCGCGTCCTTGTCACCAAATTAAGCCGTTTGTTTTGAAAGTCAAGTTGTAGCTGTTGTTTAAGGAGCTTTTAAAGAGTTCTCTTCGATGTTTTAAATTCAAATACTTCGTGTTTGCAGATGTTTGCAATGGACAGCTGAAGCAGCAGTATGCGATTAGTCAGTAGAGTGCAGACAGGTTATCACAATCTTGACATCACACAAAGCATTGTCTTACACCACAAGGAACGAGGTTATCTTTCATGCCAGTGCTTTTTCATGAAATGAACCATGGCGTGGGTATTATTTCACACCATTCCGTGATTGATTGTACATTTGTGGCATGTCTTTACTCTTGTATGTGGGAGCCTGTGGCATTCACTACTGAAACTTTTCGGGAAGTTCTATTAGTATGTGTTTTTCCATTTGCTTCACTGTCCACATTCAGTCAGACGGTAGTTTATTTGTAGCTCTTGGAATTCTAATATAGATCTAGTCAGTGAATCTGATCCGAGGCGAATGTCTATTTGTAGGTAGGAACCATATTTGATTAAACAACTTTTTATTTAGATGGCTATACCTGAAAACAAATCTCTTCACGTTGAGTGTAATAAGAGATGGATGGGGTTCATTTGAATGGCGATCAGTACAAATTATCTTTGTTTCATTCATTCAAAATGCGCGATACTCGTGAAATCAATCATTTGATGAAAACTCTAGTCCGAAATATACAACAGCGTGACGCGTAATGATATTTTGTTGAATCTTTTTAGGGTACTGAAAAATCATCTGGTGATAATACGTGGAAATTAAACATCCAACCGTGAAGTACGGATTGGTTAGCACTAGAATTAATGTTTGATCGATCAACGTTGTCAAGAAAGTGCCTGTCTTTCAAGCAAGCATTTACAATGAATGACTTTAGAAGTTATTTGAAATATATATATATATATATATATATATATATATATATCACCTCGATATTCTCTCCCACATTCTCTGACCAAGAATAGATTCTCAAACTGCTGTTCGCACTGGACAACCTCACTCGTTCAAATGAGTTGGAGGAAAAATTTGCCGAATAAATTCTTGGAAGCGTTTGGAATATAATTTGGGTTCCACCGCAGATATGGAAATCGAATCAAACTGGCAAGCCTTGTACGCGTGTTCTATGCGTTTGCTGAGGTTATAATTTTGCAGGATGTCAATGATGCCAAAATATAGCACCACGTCATGTGACTCTTCAAAAAGTTGTCCCTCAGAAGGTTTCGATTCATCGCTGTCCTTTTTATGTACACATTCAGCTCTTGCAGGCATGTTGACTCCAAGCTGTATTCTCAATCTGCTAACAAGGAAAACACAATCGCATCAAGAACATTACAAAGCTTGCAAATTCCAGAGCATCTTGACATTAGAAGATGGATTAAGATATAATAAACGAAATAAAGTTTTTAGTTTTCAGTTTCTTGAATCCATGTGCCAAAAATGATCTAGAAGTGCAAACAAAATCCTCACCGAGCTGTGCCTGGAAGCAGCAAATCAACTTCAGGGTCTCCGGCCACAGATGCTCGTAAAGGACTTCCCCGTATATGTATGCCAGGGGTTCCGCTGCTAACATTACTGGCATCTCGCGTCACCAACATTAGGCCTCTGTTACTCGCCCACTCTTCATCCCCTCCTGCTAGTTTACAAAATAGAGGAGTTACAGGAATATCAAACATATGATACAGATAAGAGCTACATACTAGGATTTCTTCCTTCCATACATGGATACCTTGTATTGCCCATCACAAATATTGAATGCATTTTCACTTGTAAGAAAACTTCACAACGCATTTCATTCAGTAAACAACGGGAAACATAAACAAGGATTACATTTTATCAGCAGGTAATAATGGGCAAAATTGACAAAACTGCAAGAACATGTTGAGGTAAGATCACCAAAACTTGCAGCTAGTAAGATCTTTAAGGTATCCAAAATGATTGCAAAGACCGAGCAAAGCGTTAAACAAGATACGAATTGAGTACCTTCGTCTAAATTGGTGCTTGTAAACGATTCGTTTGGGGGAACATCTCGTGCAGAGGAAGCGCCTGGAGTCAAAAGTGTTCTGTACTGAGGAGCTCTAAAGTGAAGGCCCAGTAACATACTGTAATCCATGATGCCCCGACTTTCTAGGAACTTGCAGTCGTACTCAAGTTGCCTGAAATGATCCACATCCATCCCGCATAAAGAAAGTCCCAAAGACAAATGATTCGTAATGGAAGTAAAAATGCGGTGAGAGAATACATCATATACTTCAGAAATAAACTAGGAACATTTAATTCAAAGACGAATTGTTCAAAAAGTTTGAGGATGTCAAGGCAGAGCATGACCAAACATGTACTACGCTCCAAACAGAACAAACAAATTACCAGGACAGACATAGACTAGAAAAGCTTTCATTATCACTTTCACCACAATTCTGGACGTGAGATGAACAAGGAAAGAAATTCCGGAACTCCATCAACACTAAAACTGTTGATCAGAGATTTTATTTCTACTTTTTTCATGTTCTCATCTATTTCAAATTTCTGCAAGAAACGTACATACACTGTAAATCTGTACAAATGTGTGCTTAACATGTGATAATCTTCCGTAGGGATTCTACTCAAAAAGGAAGAAGGGGAGAAAAGAAGAGCAGAGAAAAGTGGCAATATTTTGACATTCAGCAAACAATGCATCACAATGTACAAGATATCTGCGTACCGTAGTAGTGAGTCACGCCACGAAGGATCAAGTCGGAACTCATACTTGAGATCCAGGTCTTTTAACGTAGTTGTTTCGTCGATTTCCACCTTGTCAGCAGAGCGCCCTTGTGATGAACCTTTCAGGTCAAATCGCCGATGGATACGAAGCTCAGTACAGAACATGTTGCCCATCACTACAAACCGCACCTGCAACTTAGTGAACTCTTAGTCAGACTTGAGAAGATAGTGAGCACAATGTTAACAGGCACCTTATTTAGCTGGCTCAATGCTGTGAAAGTGTTCGAGTGATAGATCTCAAGAAACATCATTGTTGAAAATATAAGAAGCATCCTGCTGATAACAAATTGAAAGAGAAGGTGCATTCAAACATTTCAAGGAAAATAATTGTAAGAAATAATAGACAGAAATCGTAGAAGTTCATTTTAAACACAACGCATGCTGCTTGACGAATTCACCAACAAGAGCTCTACCGTTAACTTAAAAAATGAAACGATACGTCCAAAATTACTGCTAAAACGTACACTCAATACGACAGCTCAAATAGACCCAGTAAATGTAGAATTAGAATACATGCTCGACTGCATTCTAATAAGCTGCACATTACCAGCTAATCCAATTCAACGACCTTTAATCTTCAACACAAAGACGCAAGTTTAAATTAACACAAAAAGTAATGCATCAAACAAGAAATTCACCTTTTGACCTCCGTAGGGCTTGATACGATGGAGGCCAAAAATTTTAGTGATGAGGGTGTTTTCATAAGTTTTCACATGGGAATGGTACGCTGCAAGCATACTCAAAAGCACCTGTAAAAACATAAGCGAACCAAAAAAAATTAGTGCACTGGAGTTGGACAGTGATCTCATAAATGATACTGATCTCGCAGTATCAAGAGGACTTGTGATGACACACCTCATTGCAGTAACAAACGTATATCAAAAAAATACTTTCACCTAATGACCGAATCCCGCCAATAATATTAATCTTTCCCAAAAACACGAGGTAGATCACCTTCACTTCTGCCTTCTTCATCGTTTTGATGATGAATCGGTCATCATGCGAAAGATAAAATACACTGCCACTTTTCCCAGGCGAAACAAGCTCCCTCAATGCATCATCTCCAGTTAGGGATATCATGTAGTCTGCTGCATCAATCTTGAACATTTCTCGCAAATGCCTGCCAAGTTTTTAAATTGCCAAAACTCAAAAAAGTGCTTGTATGATTCCTATATTCATGTCCTTTGCGCAATAAACATCACTTGGCATCGCCAAAGTTCAATGACGTAGACAATATTACGTACCAAATAGAACAACCACTTTGAGAAACATGGCTAGATAGAGCCATAATGCAAGGGGCTAGTTTACGAAAAAAATAAAAACATCAACCCATGGCAGGAGAGATATTAAACCTGAAAACCATAGGACAGTAATCTTTCCACTTAAAATCAGATGAACTGTGAATAGGGGTCATTGGCGTCCCAGCCTTCGGAAAATTCATGTGTATACTGGCGCGAGGTCCGAAGTCATTAGGACCAATCTCATGCCTCGGCTCTGGAGTAATTTTGCCAATAGTATACCTGTCATGAGGTAACAGTGAAGAAAGACACAAAAGTCAATACTAAAAAATCTGGCTATAAATACAAGAATAAACTGCTCACCTTCTGACAACCCCAGTTACCAAGTACAATTGTTTTGAAGCGGATGATGAATTGGATTCAATACTCCACAACACGTGTGGCACGCTACAATATACCCAAAAAATTGAAACCAAAACAATACTCAAGCATCTGAAAAGGTATCCAAAGTATTCGTGTGAGTAAGACCAGTTTGAAACCTAATCATTTGGTAACATTCACAAATCAAATGTAGTGTTCTATTAACATGACTACCTGTAGAAAACATCAATCTCTACATATATAAAGGTTAGCAAGATACCTTATGCCAAGCTGCAGATTCAGCATAAGGTCATAACTGCGATGGCCCTTAAATATGGTTTCTCCAGGTCTTTTGATTTCCCGAGCAGATCTGCGAGGCCTCCTCTTCTTATGACCCACAGCTTCCGCATTCTCTTTTACCAGCTCACTCATAAGCACGCCCTGCACATATTCTCTCACAACTACCGTAGGAGGTAGAGTTCCGACACTTTCCAATGGTTTCCGATCAGACCCCCGTTCCACATCTTCCAGGATTGTGTCTGAGTTACGAACACTACCATAACCTTCCAATCCAAGCCCTTTCTCAGCTGGGCCATCAATGCTCCATCGTCTCTGGATACTGTTGGTAAGATCTCCGCTCCTGGACAGTTCTCCGAAATGAGGAATCTTTTCAGATGATGTGGATCTACTTCTAGACCACCGCAAAGGACGGAGTTCCCCACTGAAATGAGCACAGCTTGAAACACCACCTACGTCACTGTTTCGAGTCGCTTGCAAATCTCGAGTACCAGCAGGATAGAACACACCTTTCCCATCTTTCAGGCCCCTACTCCAAGTTCCAATGTAAGAACTCCCGTCTGCCCACACATATACTCCGCGTCCATGTTCCAACCCATCCAGCCACTGCCCAACAAATTTATCTCCGCTAACCCATGTTAATACCCCCTTACCACACATTGTACCTCCTCTCCATTCCCCATTATACTCGTTTCCACTTGCCCAGGTGTACTTGCCCACGCCTTCGTGAACTCCCTTATACCAAGCTCCTTCGTAAACGTCTCCGTTCGCGTACCTCTTCCGACCCTGCCCATGCTTGTCGTTCATACTCCATTGGCCCTTGTAAGTTGTACCTCCGGTTCCCATGTATGTGCCGAACCCATGCATATACCCTCCCATAAATTCACCTTCGTAAGTGGCCCCAGATGGCCAGGAGATCTTACCCTGTCCGGACTTTTTGCCTCTTCCCCATTCTCCTTCATACATGCACCCATCTGCCCACAAATATTTGCCCGGCCCCTCCGGCAAACTTCCCTGCCACGTACCGACATAAAAATCGCCATTGGAAAGAACCTTCTCTCCAGTAACTGAATCCAAACCCACATCTTCCAAGCCGTCGAGTGGTGCTGTGCGCTTAGCCTCACCATCATCATCGGAGACAAGGGATTTAATGGAGGGCAACTCACAACTCCGGGGGGAATAATGTTTCCCTATGCTCTGTTTTGGCAGATCAACGTCGTTAGCCGTGTCCCCTTGAGGCAACGGCTCAGACATACAGGTGAGACCAGGTGAAACAGCCTTCTCAGGGGCAACAGCACGTTTTCGCGACCGCCTCTGAAAATTAAAAATTGAGCTTCGTATCCCTTGTCCTGAATAGTCGGCCACATTGCCTTCCTCTGTACGACCTAGACTACATGTTACCAATGCGGCCGCGCAACTATCGGCTCCTCTAGAAGCAGGACTTCGCATGCTAAATTCTTTCGTCCCATGAGTCTCATTGAGACCTGAAGAGACAAACCACGCTCTGCGTCAGTACCATGTCCCATCAATGCAATTCCCAGCCTCACACTCATTGGAGTTGCCTGAAATCGAGGTAAATTCCTACACGAAAACTGTGGAATGAAGTATTACACTTTGGTGAGACCAATAGACGGTAATACATCTTAAGGAGCTGGTAGAATCTCTGGTAAATGGCCGCGGCATTGCCACAATCCTTATTTCAAATCGTGACCTGACGATCGTAATTTTAAGAAATCACCAGACTGCATCCACTACCGCACAAAGAGGTCTCCAGAAGAAATGCTGATCTAGCGCTTGAACTGCGCCATCGTATCTCCTCTAATCATGTGGAATAACTACTGTGACGGGACGAGCTCGACTGGCAGTGCTTCCGAATGATGCTAACGGTTTACGCAAGGTACAACTGGTCACAGAAACACCGCGAGATTGAATACATGCTGGGTCACATGCCAAGATCCGGAACTAAGATAAAGAGTAAGAGAGGTAGACTTGCCTTCTGACATTGGTTCTTGTTGAATACGGACGCAGTTCAAAATTTCTACAACAAGTCCATGTAATAGCGTCGCATGAAACCCGTCCAATCTTCCGGAACAGTCAGCGCAGCCCGCTCCGCTGCCTTGTCCGCCAACCCGCTACTAATCCCCGATCAAGAAATCGCACAAGTACATCGCGCAATCGAATCAGAATATCAACCTTCGAAACAAGCTCCCTGACACTTCAGTCGACCCTATGTGCACGCACCCTCACTCACTCACTCTGACATTACGAACAACACAGCATCTGCAGCAAAACAGGCTTCAAGGGCTTCGAGCGGGCCGATCCATGCGTACTGGCAGAGATAAAGAGTTTCCAGAATGGTAGGAGGGGAGGGGGGGGGAGGGAGCGTGACGAAAACATATCGGGGCGCAAACGGAGGGAGAAGAAAGGACGCGACACGGCACGACACGACTGGAAGAGACAGTCTCCGAGGCACCAAAAACGATACCAAAAACAATACCAAAAAAAAAAAAAAACGGGAGTGAGATAGAGCTAATGTGTCTAAGTCCGCCACTGCTCCGCACTTTCCTCAGAATACAAAATAAATAAAATGCAAAAGTAAGGAAACCCTAGCGAGGGAAAATGGCAGGAAGAAAGGGATGGATTGATCAAGCGAGCGAGCCGGAGAAGAAGCGAGAGAGAGAGAGTAAAGAACCACGTCCAGGTGCTCGTGCACTACCACCACCACTACCACTACCACCTCTTCAATCACGAGAGCAGGAGGAGGACGACGACGATAGCAGCAGCAGCAGCAATAGCGCAAGGCCAGGCGAGAAAGCAGAGCGCGCGAGACGACTGGGCAGCACGAGCTAATGCAATACTGGAACCCCCACCTCGTTCCCTCCTTTGCCTTTGCCTACTTTGCCTTTCCTGCGCCTTCTTCTTCTTTTCCTATCTCTCTTGTTCTCTCTCTTGCTGTATATTCCCTCCCTGTTCCACTCACTCACACACCGCGCGTATGGCCCGTTTGTGGTGAATCGCCCGCCACTCTTCCTCCTCGTTTGTCGTTTCTCCCCCAACACCATCCAATTTCAAATGAGCGCCAGAGTCGGACACCATTTGGACGACACCATTTCTCACTGAATGAATGGATGGATGGATACGTTCTCGGTGGATGGATGAATCCCCTTATGATGGTTGGTGGTGGATGGATGTATAGATGTGTGGTGGATGGATGTATAGATGTGTGGTGGATGGATGTATAGATGTGTGGTGGATGGATGTATAGATGGGTGGTGGATGGATGTGTGGTGGATGATGCGCTTCGTGCATTGGTTAATTGATGACTAGGTGACTGTGTGTGTGTGCATTTAGGCGCGGGTTTTGGGTCTTCTCTCCTCTGTGCCCTGCAAACCTGGAATTATCAGAGTTTTAAAATGTTTAAGAATGTTAAACACGTCGTTTGTGAAGGGATTTACAGTTTTGTGTTTTTTCTCATATTTTTGTATGATACAGTGACCCTAACAGTTCAGTTCAGATTTTTTGCATGTGAACATTGTTCTTAATGTTAATGAACTAGTGATATGGTTCGATATTAGTTTTGAAAAAAAATTCAACGAAACTTTTATACTTTATAAAAAGTAATTGTTTGAGATGTGTCCATGGGAGAAACAAAACAAAATAGAACAGAACAAAATGTTCCAATGCTTGTGTGGTCCAGAGTTTTGGACACTATAATGTTAGAGCGTTGAAGCTTTCGAAACTTCTTGTCAATCTAAAATAAAAATAAATAAAATGTCGTGTACTGTGGCAATGCTGTATTAAAACAACTGAATACTAATAAACTAATTCATCTCATGAGAAACAGTACAACCACCTCAAACCAAACTTGACGTATCACTTTATGGAAGAAGATGTGTTGTTTTATTGAGTTCGGTTGAGCACATTAATGTCACTACAAAAGAACAATATTTACCAAAGGAAATATTCTATAATAACATTGCTATATAAATCAAGTAATATTATTCATTGATTTATAAAAAATCATGTATTCCACACTTGTTCAATGAAAAACACAGCTCTACAGGCATAATGCATTGTGATCTCATCCAAATTGAAACAAAATGAAAAAAAAATAAAAATAAAAAATAAAAAATAATTTTACAACATAGAACACTGACTTCTTTATTTTGGACATAAATAGAAACAGTACAAATATTGGCATTGCTAAAAGTAATATCCATTATACTTTTAAATATTGAAACTTATACTTTTGTGTAAAATTTGAAGAGGTAACACTTGAAATCACATTGATATACATCATGTGCATGTGTATATATATATTCAATGAAATGTTAAATAAATTCATGCTTTTACTGAAAAGATCACTTTTGATGAAGAATATGATAATCATGATGAATGTGGTTGGTTTTTATTGGTCACTAATCTAATAATAGAGAAATGAATCCAAAAATCATTATTACTTCATGATGGTTACAATGGGTGGATTGATTTAGTAAAAACTTGGGTCTATTGAACATTTTCTTATATATATACTAGTTGAAACACATGCCATAGGCCATAAAAATATTTATTGAAAATTATGATTGGGGGCTTCTGAGCTTTATGCCTAATAATCTTGTAGTGCTACTCTTAGCAAACTACAACAACAATATGTAGATTTTGATCTTTGATTGATCAAATGTTGAGTTATTGCTTCACTTTTGATGAAAACAACAAGACATGTAGCTAATTAGAGATGGTTTTTCTCTCTTTTGGTTTATCTATTAGAATTATTTTATATAAGAGATACATGTGTGTGTGTGTTTTTATTCAAAAGAGGACACCATGGCTAACATCACTTTAACCATCAAACATATTTGAATAGCATAAAAAAAACATCTTAGCTAATAAATAAAATAAAATAAAAACAAAATGCATATATTGTTATGCAAACAACTATTTTTATTTTTACTCAAAACCACAAGGTTAAATCTCACGGATACCAGGTTTAAAGAAACACAAAAAAATGGAATTAACAGTGAAATCAAAGATGAATCTCTACAACTTCACTAAACCACATGCCAAATTTGCTCCGAAAAAACCACGAGGCAAGGAGCGGAGAAATTAGTGTGGGTGGGGGAGGGTCCACGGTCATGGGAGACGGAACCGCCCCGTGGGAAAGGATCCATCCCTTGGCGAAGAAGCATTCATCCGCAGGGGCAGAGGGGAGGGCGGTCATGATGAATGAAGAACGAAAACATGCGGAATGAACAGATGAATGTACATAAATGGACGGATATTAAGAAGGATGAAAAATGGGATGGGGATTGGCGTTGGCAGCGGGCATAGTCTTGGCATTATCACCGTCATTCGCCTGTGTCCTCGTCGTCCTCGGCCTCCTCTACAAACACACAAACAAACAAACAGGCCTAGCCAGCCCTAAATCGCCATAGCCAGGTTCTTCGTAGCAGCAGCAGCCGCTAGTCAGTCTCCTCCGCCATTCTCAGCCACCAGTCGTCTGTGTCGCGACACGGACACCACCCATCGTCTGCTGGCGCTTTTGCTTCAGTTGCTCCATCATTCCTCACCGTCACGCGTCGGCTAAAATGCATCATTAATAGGTGCCGTTGATCTTTGTAAGCTTGTCTAGAACTGGCTCGGTTTTGTGTGTGTATATGTGTGTGTGTTTGTTTGTTTGTGTTGCTTGGTCTTGGCTGCGTGATGCGTTTCTCATTGCGAGGATTCCGGTGAGTTCACTGCTTCGCTGTCTGTAAGAAGGCCTGGCGTTGTGTGTGGGCGGAGACGACGTGTTAGGTACAGTGTTATCCCCCGACTGCTGTTTAGGTTGTGCTGCTGGATTGCGTTATTTCACGAGGTTCGATCGAGGTCAGATGCGGGTGGCGTGGTTTCCAGGGGACTTTGAATCTGTTGTAGCTTTTTGTTGGTGTTGGGGCTGTTTGTGCTTGGACAGGTAGGATACCGTCCTCTTCCCTGTGTAGGAATTGATGTTCCTAGCTCATCTGAGAGAAGTTTAATTTTTAGGGTTCAAAGAGTTGACTGGTATCTACCAAACGTACCAGTCACAACCGATAAACATTCTGACATTTTTACTATATACATGTATGTAAACGTATATTTTTTTAAAATTAAAATTAAATTAAAATTTCCTCTGTTTCTCTCCGTTGTCGTTTGTAGGAAGTAGTGTTGCTTGTGAGGTATGGAGGTCTTAAGGAAAGCGTGGCCGTTTTCTTTGGGGTTGAATCTTGAAATTGGGATGTGCAGAGTTAATTGCGATAATAATTCTGGTAGGTTTTTGAACGAGCATGGAAGTTTCGTTCCTTATGGCAGCTGTTTCAAGATTTGATCTCATGATTTAAGCTCTTAGAGTTGTATACATCCACTTCGGTGCCTCAAAAATGCCATCGCTGCACACTTTTTGGAAGCTGAAAGCCAGTCTAAAATCAACTTCCGGTTACAAGGGAGAACTGTTTCAAGGAGGACGAGTCAAGCCCCTGTTCGGTAAAGGGTCGCCCAGTGCTCGAAATACTAAACCGTCGGTGACAGGCTCTTCTACTACTCCTGGTGGCTACCAACCCTCTCGGCACCCTTTTGTTCCTTCCTTCTTCTCGAAGTTCTTTTCGAGCAGCCGAACACCCTCAGCAGATCACAATCCTGCGAGTTTTGATTCCAGCAAACAACAGGCTCTTACGGCCTCTGAAGCCGTCTCTCGCGTGTTTGCTACTCCATCAGTCCATGGACCTTTGTTGAATAGTAGTAGTTGTAACGCTCTCGAGACCGCAAGAGAGGCCAGCTGCAGCAGTCTACAGGAGCTATCGGAGACGGGGCTATATTTGCTGACTGGCCAACTTTCTGGGGGTGTTCCTTCGCAGAAAAGAGATAGGAAAGTGCCTAAGCAGGTCGTAACTTCATTATCCTCCGGACCGCAGAATGTATGGAAAGAGCAAAGAGTGTGCGACGGAGGCATTACCACAGACACGACTGGATCTGTGGGGAACGAAGCTTTTATTCCCAGTTTAAGAAAAATTGTTTCACCAGATAGCCGTGCACTGGTTGCACGGAGCTTTGATGGATTGGATGAAGGACACGGTGGCCCCGATTTGCAGGAAGTAGATGTTGGGACTGTCTCCCTTCTTCACTGTGCGCCCCTCGACAAATCCACGAGACACATTTCATTGGCTTTCCGGAAGTCGTTTTATCACTCAATTGCCCGTCATTTATTCCACCCTAGGATGTCTCTGTTTGTCGAAGAACATGTACATGTCAAATCCATGTCTAATCCGAGATTGGCGAGTACTGAGTCTCCTGGTTCGGTAGTTGATGGGCCCCACGAAATTGATTATACCAAGGACCAACCAAGAAATTTGGACGAGTAAGGGCAACCTATTCTTATTCTTTCACTTGTTTCATTGAACATTTTTCTTCAAGTGAATGTTTCCAGTTGTTCTACGTAGTAATCCCGCTTAAAATAGCTACCGTTTTGCCCCGTAAAATGCGATTCTTCGAAGGTATACCTGGAAGATATCTACTCTTTGTTGATGATATTTTTTGTACTTTGCATCGGCCTCGGCAAGGTATTTATACACCGAACTTCTTGAACGGTTTCCACTTGCTGTTAAACAGTTCTGACACACTGTTTACAGAGGATATTACTGTAGGCGCGTATTTTCTTGTTCTTTAAGGAATTTTTTGTATGGATAAATCGCGCATGCTTTGTCCCGGACGGTCATTGCGAATAATCGACACGCTTCTTTCTCCTTTCCTCCTACTTTTTCTTTGGTTCTCACATTTTCAGTGTTGTCCTGCAGCGAAGGAGTTCAGAACCGAAGTCTCCGGTTACTTTCTGGTGCGTGCTGTCTACCACATCCAAAGAAAGTGAAAACTGGAGGAGAAGATGCGTACTTTATATGTTCGGAGGAACAGGTAGTGGGGGTAGCAGACGGAGTTGGAGGTTGGGCTGATGTTGGAGTTGACGCTGGTGATTATGCCAGGGAGCTTATGTTACAGTCAAGGATAGCGGTTGCTCAGGAGCCGCATGGGTACATAGATCCAGCTCGCGTCATGTTTCGGGCTCATGCAAGGACGAAATGCCCTGGTTCATCCACGGCATGTATTCTTGCTCTCTCTGATTACGTAAGTCTTACATTTTACGCTGATTGTTCGTTTGTTGTGAAGCATTTGATACCGATTTGTTTGTGAAACACTCACGTGTCATTACTGTTTTATGTATGTGTCTTAGTTGTCGACATTTCCCTACTTCTGTAAGAGCCGTGGCAGTATCGCTTTTGGTGATTTTTTGAGAACTGATGGTAATGAACTTAATATTGCTTAGAATATGCTCTTGGGATCTAACATGAGATACAGATAGTTTGTGTTGTTTCGAATGATTCAAAGATAGTTTATTCGTAGTCAATCGTTAATTTCTGCCCGTTATGTTCGCAGGGGTTGCAAGCTGCTAATCTTGGAGATAGTGGATTTATGTTGATGAGAAATGGTCGAACCGTTTTCAAGTCTCCAGTTCAACAGCACCAATTTAATATCCCTTTTCAATTGGAAAGTGGTGGCAGTGATCCTCCTAGTGCTGCTGAGGTAACTATGCTTGATAATTTACTTGTAATACATTGGTTTATTTGTTCACCGATGCCCTTTCTGTGTTAGGTCTTCTTCATGGTAAATAGTTTCTTTTGTTTGTGCAAAAGCTCTTCTTAATCTGTGACGGTGCATGTTGGAAAGGTAGTTGGACAGGGTGTTTTATCTCTGTCTTTGTGTATTGTGGTTGTGATCATGATTAGGATGAAGGTTTGATTTGTCGTCAACATTAACGATTGGCTTCTGCAGGTATTCTCTTTGCAAGTTGCCGCAGGGGATGTACTTGTTGCAGGTACGGATGGGCTGTTTGACAATTTGTACGATAATGAGTTGGTGGGAGTTGTTATCCATTCTACACGTGCTGGGTTAGATCCCCAGGTTACGGCCGAAAAGATTGTTGCTCTTGCAAGGGAGCGAGCCGAGGATCGGAACAGGCAAACTCCTTTCTCGACTGCTGCTCAAGAGGCTGGGTTTAGGTTCTATGGAGGCAAAATGGATGACATTACTGTCGTTGTATCTTATATTACTAACAATAAGTCGGGTTTTAAAAATCCTGTCTCAAAATTATGATAGGAATTTAGTAGGTTGTACTCAGGAGCAATGTAAGTTTCACCAGTAATGGTACCAGATCATCCTCTGAAGCGAGACTGGTGATCTGGACATATTGTATATCCTCAGGGAATTCTAAAACAGTTTGCCTTATTTAGTGTTCCTAGTATATATGCCTGACAAATATTGTTTCATTTTCTGTTTGTTTGTTTTTTTCTTTTTTCCCATTTTGTGGTCAACTGGGAAGCCTTGCTCAACAGAACCCGTCGCTTGTATGATTGTGGTCATGACGCTCATCTTAAGGTTTTTTCAGAAGATTCGTGAAATACTTGGTCACTTCGTCACGTGGGAAAAAATTAAGTTATTTCAGTTAGTTCTGCTTAATTTAGCACTTAATCTTATTTCAATTCATGCTACGTGGCAGTATGGTACATGTTCAAGAATTTAGTATACTCTGTTTCAATTACATGAATTATTGGATGCCATTATTTCATTTGAATGTTAATAATTCGTTTCCAAATTTGTTAAAAAGAACGTATTTACTTCCACCTATATTCTAGGTTTACTTAGTAGTATGTGCATTGTGCTTGATATCATTACTTTAGGTGAAATTGTTTCTTCACCACTCGTGATTATCAAGATAACATTGAAGCCCATGCTGGCCGTTCAAGATTCAATCATGGGAAAATAAATAGCGAACATAAACAAAGAGACGAGGCTAGACTTAGTTGAGGAATGAGTAATGTCTTCTGTACCAACAGGGTTAATCAATTAACTTTTATTTTTGCATTTGACATGAGCTTCTTAAATTCAAGACAGCTTTTATTGCCTATTTTTTAAGTTTATTGGTACCAAATATTGGGACAAACTAATGTTCAAGTTGTCTAGAAGCGATTTCAATTGAATTTTAAAAACATATATATATATATATATATATATATATATATTACCCATGTTACCTAAATAATAGAAAATTACCTTAAACATATTTTTGATAAGGTGCCGGCTGAAGATTGAATTAACTTATACAAGCGTTTATTCTTCATGTTTTCACTTATCACAGAAGTTGACAAGTCCAAGTCTATGCCTTCTAAACAATGTGAATTTCTTTTAACGTTTTAAAAAGATATAAGATATATTATATATATCATCTGAATTTAATCATTCAAACATACTTCATCGTGCAAGAAAAGGTGTCTATGAAGTCCAACGTAAAAGTTTTACACATTAACTGGTGAGAGTATGAAACAGACCGGACCAGAAATACGTTTCCAGATTAGTGCTTATTGGGGATATGTTTAAAATGTTAGATATTCAAGGAAGACTTTTTCTGCGATTTTAAATTAAATAACATTTTCCACATAATAATACACTTAATTACAACATATTTTTGATTGCTGCAATCGAGAGGGAAAGTAGAAAGAAACCAACTTTTCATAATGCAGGTCATATCTCAAACAAAATTGAATCCAATAGAAGATTTCTGTTTAACTATAGAAATATAATAAGCCAAAATATGAAACGCATATCCTATGATGATTTAAAGTAATTAAGTTTACCGAAGCTAACTGAATATCTAAACGGTCAACATAAAATTTACACTCAGTACATCTTCTAGGTAGGAATACATGTTTTAAGAAACATTAGCGACATACCTTTATCAGAAAAAAAATAACTACTTCGTATCTGGTTATGACTGATCGAATAAATATTTTCACGGCTAGTCATTTAGGATACAGAGAAACGACCTCTGTAAAACTAGTCACCACCATCACCACCACGTCTTTTGAACAAATCACCATCAATCACCTTGCAACCAAGCCAAATCATTCCACTACATTGAAAGAAAAGGAGAAGATTAAGATCATATGACCTGGGTCGCACATTAAGCATTGTGCTTTATTAACTTATAGTATTTCAAAGATTTTAAGAAGGAACTCGATATATTGAAAGTGATAAATGGTGTGAAGCGATTACACAAATTTCAGCAACATGCTGATTTGATTATGTCGCATACCCACTTCAAGTGAGCCGAAATGTGCAAAATGACCATGAAAATATCTTCAAAAAGGAAGCCACAAACCACTGCTTAGCTCCAGGAAGTTGGAATAGACTCAACTACACGAAGTTGAGGCTGGAGATTTTCCAAACCAACAATTCATACTAGGAACGAAAATGACCGATCAAAAATGATCTTCCTTAACAAAATTACCTGATTCCTCAGTCTAACTGATTGTGTATATATATATATATATATATATATATATATATATATATCTATCTATATTGATTTTAACTGTCGTTTGGTTTGGTGTGGATATGCTCAGTGCCTAAGCTCGAGGGTGCAGAAAATGGGACTCGGTCGAGCATTCTGTCCGACTCATTCGCCTTCACCTCCACACTAAGCTGCATGATTAACAAGAAAAAATCATAAATTCCTAAAGCAAGCACATACAGCGAAGGAAATAAATCAGACATGTGCAAATCAACATCTTGAAGGAAAACGAGGTCGAAGCACACACAAAATTAATACCTTGCTTTTGTCCCGCCAGCTTAATGAGAACGGACGGCCAAAGAGACCTGGCTTACTAGCAGTGTTATTGGGAGTGTCTTCTGCCCCTTCCATCTTGCCCGTGCTGTTTCTTCTTTCCCAAACGGAATCAGAATCTCTATCCCCAAGGCCCAAAGATAACGTATTCTAGATCAGCTGACTTATACTGACCAGGTGTAACTTAGAGAGCAAGAAGGTACTGAAATAACTTAGTAGGGTTGCGTAAAAGAAATAAATTCATTTAACCGCCATAATCCAGGTGTCCTCATCAGTAAAGACAGCAGTCTGAAATGAGTAGAGAGAATTACTTGGACGCAGGAGAGCTATGAGAGCGATACATGCCCCTAGATGCACTATCATCGGAGTTGCGTCTGAAATTTTGTGGACCACCAGTTTGAAAGTTGACAGTTGCCTCTAGCATGCTTTCTGCCATAATAGCTCTCTTTTCCATAGCTGACAGAGCAGCTACCGCCTCGGCAGCTGTTTTCTACACGGCACAAGAGACAATATGATGTTAAAAACGACATCGCGGAAGTGAGTTACAATAAAAAATCAAATACGAAAGATACAAATTTAGTGACTGTAAGAGGAGCTTCCAACGGACGTCACAATCAATTTATTCAATATAAAATTTCGAAGAGTCGCACAAAATAAACATCATAACAAGGTTTGAAGTCCACAATAAAATACCTCCGCTTCTTCAGCAGTACGCCGGTGCGTCTCAGCCTCCTGCTCCGCAAATCGGCGGGCGTCCTCTGCAACGTGTTGCTCTTGCTCCATTCGCAACAACACCTACAAATGCCAAAATAACCTTCCCAGTAATAAGTTCCAGTTCCTGCAGAAAAAAATGGCATTTGAACAAATAACCCTGAACGTGGCGAGAAGAGATTAACCTGAACCATGGCTGCCTCTTGTTCTTGCTTCTCGGCTAATCCCTTTTTCAACTGGTCAACCTCGGCCTCTAAACTCTCCACCTAAAACATAAACCCCATTAGTATCAACTTCTAGAAGCACCCACCGAGCGTACTAGAAATGCTTCAACTGGAGAACTATATCTTAGGTTTCGGACATAAAAATGCCAAACTTTATTCGACGAGTTTATAAACGTTAATATGAATCCAAAATCGTAAACGAACTTTCAAACGGATGACAAAATTTGAGTAGTTTATCATACTTGAGCAGAAAGCAAACGTCGGTTGTCCCCTTTCACCATCTCCATCAGAGCCGTTTCCAACTGATCGGCTCTGCAAGCAACATCCACTTGTAAACACAGCTTCTGTGCTCCAGATCTTGAACTTGTCAAAGAATGCTCTTGATACAGATATAACACGAAAACAATTACCTTTGAGCTGATGCTTTTGCAAGCTCAAGGGCACGACAAAGCTCCGTCTTCAGCCAGGTCACCTGATAATTGAATTGAAAACGCAAGTTCAACTTAATTAGAAAAAGCACCACATGCTCACTGTAACCAGTTCGTTGAAGCATGTGAATAAAGTGGAGGCACGTCAAAACGTGTGCCCTGTAAGCGGATCTTTCCTACATGAGCTTTTAAGCATCAAAAACCCAACAGTGTGAACGACAGTAACAAGGTCAAGACTTTTGGGTTTAAAGAATCAACAGTACAAAGGGTGCCGCAGCAATAGTTAAAAGATTCATATGGCATTGACAATAAAAAAAAAAAAAAAAAAAAAAAAAAAAAAAAAAAAAAAATCCCCATTTCTGTTAAACCATTTCTGGCCAACCGACCCGTTTTCTCAATAACTTCAACTAGACATTCGACCATACTTGTTCCTGAAGGTCAGTGCCGTCGTTGTCAGTATCATTCCCATCTTCAAGATCTAGATAGGCTTTTGTCCCACCAGGGCTGTTGGCAATTATTGCGCGATCAAAGGAGGTCCTTAATTTGTCTAGCTTAGATCCGATGCCATTTGCAGAGCGCCAAAGGTTAAGCTCCATCGACCTTTCATCAAGCGCAGCAAGCACAACAGGTCTGTGTTTGGTGCGAAGTTCCTGCAGAAGTTTCTCATTGAATTCTTGAAACCCCAGGCATGCCAACAAGACAAGCTCGCTGCTGTCGAACGTGGTCTCACCCATTGACTGAAGCGTTGCTACTGCATCACCAGTGTCGCGTTGTTGCAACAATGCTCCGGCTTTTGGTAATACCAAATAAAGTCCCTGGTCAGTACTACTTTACCACTTCACAAAACTCTTTTCAAAAGAGAGGGAAAAAACCGTAGGATACAGCAAAGTGACAAGCACAAACTTTTACCCAATCTTACAGATTAACAGCGCGTTTATCTTACCATGAATTTCAATGAGAGCCAGACCAGTCCTGAACAGCATGCTACGGTTTCCTTCGTACAAGAGGACATCCCATACCCTCAGAACTGCAAGCCAGATTGGTTTCCAGAGTCAATTCAGAATTCCTAGTAGGACGTACATCAGAAAAATGCAGATTATAGTAGGCCTTGCGCAACCGTTTGATGCTACATCTATATTCCAGCATTAAATATTGAAGGTTCTGATGGAGGTTAGACGGCCTTGACATTCCTATTTAACAAAACAAAAAAGAAAAAAGAAAAAAGAAAAAGCAAGATTCTCCTCCTCTGTATTGTCGACGAGTCAATATTGCCTCCAAAAACTAAAGCTTTAAATTACAAAAAATATGATATCATAAAAATGACATACCAGTCTCCCATGGTACGACGTTCACAAAGATGGAAAGGAACCAAGGGCCACTAACCCATGCTACCTGCACTCCAAGGCTCTCCAGATGAGTTGCTGCAATGACACAAATACATTAGCAATTTTTCTGAGAATTCCTATTATATCCTATACTAAACGAAATCAAGTAGGTAAAAAATCAAGAGTATGATACGACTCACCTAATCTGGGGAACCGTTCGCGAACCAGCTGCTCAAATACAAGTAGGTCTACCTGCTCAGGGACCGAGTAAGTAAGCACGGAGTAGACACAAAAGAACTTGGACAAAAATCAAGAGGTTTGCAAAATCCAGTGTCTAGTATCAACAAAATAACAATTAAAAACAGGATAAGAACTTCGAAATAGCTAAACAGAAGCATCGCAAACCCATTTCCATAGGAAGATGAAGGATTGGAATAGAAATGAGGAGAAAAAAATATCAGGTCATTCGTTGCCAACCTGTGCTTCCACCATTCTTTCTGAATAGTAGCCCTCAAAGTAATCGTCGATAATTGCAGTTAACGTCCTGTAAAAAAAACACGAAAACATCAATGCTTGTGAAAATATCATCACTTAATTGTTAGAATTCCCATGTAAGGTTATGATACAGAATTCATTGCGACAGTTTTCGTCACGTTTGTAAGTGTATCTAGAAACAGGGCCCGGAACCCACAAGTGTGCTAGTTCTGTGTAATTAGCTACACTTAATACCGCATGCTAAAGCCAGCAGCAATGTTATACCACGGAATTCACAAGTGCAAGCTCTTATCTGAGCCTGTCTAAAATCAACTAATAAATTAGGTTAACTAATACAACCATCTTTGAATCGCAGGAACGTACCAGAATGCATTTTCTTCAGGCATTAAGAGTAACAGAAGTGCAGCAACAAAATTCATTGCCTGCATCAAAAAACAAAAAGGAGCTCCTCAGTAATTTGCATGCAGATCAAGGCATTTCAAAATGCTGGTTTAGGGCCTAAACCATGTTAAGGCAAAAATGTGCAACGATCAGGTGATTAAGACTGTCCACATTCAGCGCATTTGTATATAGATATCGGACTTGCACGAGCCAGACTTACGCACCACATGATCACCACGCTAGAAAGAAGAACCCGCACCTGACAGTATCCAACAGAAGGATTGTGGCGGGCATATGCCGTGAGCATGCGCCTCAGAGCGTTTAAACCTTCCTTGTCAAGAGCAGGATGACCAGGGAAAGTCCTGGGTAGATCCTGATATCAAAGAACGCCAACTTAATTAGGTTACTCCAGCTGATTATTTGACAGCTACAAGGACCCTTTAGCCAAGACTAAGTCTGAGAAGGAAAAAAAATAATAATTTAATTTTAAAAATAAAATTAAAAACATTAAAAACATTAAAAACATTTAAAAAAAAATGCAAGTGAAAAGTTTGAATTTTCCATTTCATTCACCTTCTCGATTTGAGCAGTCCACTTTTCAACAGCGCGAGGTTTCTCTGTCACGAGGTTATTTTCAACTGAACCATCGCAACTACTGACGTGATCAACTTCACGGGCGAGGAGTTCCTGATAGTAACCATTTACATGCCGATCCTTTGCACCCGTGAACACCTGCCATAACTGAATTCCCAAGATATTCTTAGATACCTTTCACCTCGTCCTATGAAAGAGCCAGACGTCTGTAAAACTAAAGAGTACATTCTAGCAACAAGCTAGAACTGGTATTCAAATAAACTCATCACTGGAGCAACACAGTGCAGTGAACTCCACCGGCTGACAGGACATACCTCTCCCCTCAGCGCCACAGGGACACCACCACTAACAAGTACTTTAAGCTCTTCAACCCAAGGAGCCGGTTCCAGCACATCACTAGTACTCTGGTCTCCTGCGTCAGACACAACCTCTGTCCTTTCAACGTCATAAAACTCGTCATCAGAATCCTCATCTTCTTCAACTCTGGGACCACCTCCAGCACCCACAATTTTGCCATTGCCATTTACTCCGCTCTCATTTCCTTCCGAATCCAAGGCAATGCTACCGTCCGTGTTTAGCCTACTTGCCTTCCTCTTCCTAAGGTTCTTCAACTCCTGTTCTAGAGCCGCCAAGGAACTCCTGTGCGAGCCGAACCTTCGCAAATTCCCATCCAAATTACCATCAATCCCAACCGCACCTCTACACAATCCATTAACGACACAACCCTCCGACGGCTCGGCTTCACCATTTTCCACTTCCTCCTTTTTCAGCGAACACAAAAACTGCTCCCATCGGTCCGATCGCTCCACTTCTTCTTTCTACGCAGCCAATTGTCCACCACACGCCTTACAAACCCGTACAACAACAACTCAAAAACAATCAAGCGACACAATCACCCTAACAAATCGCACCACAAAAAACGTTTCAAAACATCAAAACCAAAATACACACACAAACACACACACACACCCCCCCCCCCGTCCATCAATACCTTGTAAATACTCGCATACTCACGATACCGCTCCAAATGCTGTTGCCGAACGGCGAACCCGTATATATCCCTGGCACACAACCAAAATCAAACCACCAGCTAATCACTAGCTACTCCCCAACCCTAATCCATACCAACCACGACACAACCAAAGCTCACAATCCCAAGTGCCTATCACAAAATGCAGCAGCAGCAGCAGCGTCGATACCGGATCTCCTTGAAGGTGGCAACATCATTACGTGGTGACGCCATCGCGGGCTTGCTCTTCACCCCCGAATCAGCCGCAAGTGATACAGCTGCTGATACATCTCCTTCCTCACTCGGCGAGCGGAGCTCAAGCGCACGCTCTCACGTGTCCATCGCCCCGCGTTGCTACTGCTTTCACCAAAATCATTCGCCCCCTCGGCCCCTTCATCATTCAATATCACTCAACCTCGATCTCAGTCTCTCTATCTCCCTATCTCTCTCTCAGCTCTCTCAGGCTCTCTATCTCTGACTCTCGGGCTCACTCAATCGGGCTCTCTATCTCTGTCTGTCTCTTTGCTTGCTTCTTCGTCGCTAAATTCGTCGCGAGTGCCGTGAAAACAAAGCCGCGGCAGAGTAAAATTCAAAATGCCACTTACCCTCGCCGCGAGGGCGCGCCTGTCGGCGTCGCGGCAGGCGGACGAACGAACGAACGAACGGGTGAAGAAGGCGGGGCAACGGCTACGGGGCGGGGAGGGGATGGGGACGGGGGACGGGGGACGGGCTTACCCTACTTCCGCTAGTGCGTTCTATCTCCGTTCATGTCCTGTATCCGTGGGTCTTTTCCGTGGTTGCCTGGGCACGGCCATAGGAGAGAACGTGTCCAGTGGGCTTCTTCGTTGGAAATGTATATGTTGAAAATAATAAAATAATATATATATTTATTTATATATTATTCTCATAAGATGTTTCAAGTAAGTTATGATCATATTTATAGTTGAATGTGTTTTCTAAGAAATATATGATGAAGTTTGTAAAAGAAAAAAAAGACATAGTTTTTAAGGAATATACAATCAATGAATTGATGGCCTCTTCCCATGGTACACATGGTGGGGTGCCCAATTTTTTTTATCTACTTTTTTGAAAACCATTCAATCATGTACACTGCCACAATGAAGAAATTGTATAAAATGAATATTTATATGTATGTATGTATGTATGTATGTATAATAAAATAATAATATCTCGTTCATTTTGTTTGTTGGAATTGTTCGATTTTGTTTAGCAAAAATCATGGGACCGTACCAAATTAAAATAAAATAAAATTATAAAAATAATGTTTTAGATTTTTTTTAGAAATGTGGTTCAAAGTTAGCATTAAATATCGCAGGTGTTGTCATATAGAAAAACTGTACATATATATATATATATATATATATATATATTGTGAAGATTTTATGAATTCAACTCAAAACAAGCCTTTTGAATCAAGTAAAAAATATTTAAAAACGAGGCTACCCACCAATTAATATCTAAGAAATAATGAACTAATAAATGTTTGAAAGTGTTTGTATTAAATTCTCTAAAAAATGTATTTTATGGTCATAACTTTTATTGGTGGAGTAGTTTGTTAGAAGTAAACATGATCACCTAACACTACCCTTATAAATTTGCAATTAATAGCTTCCTTATCAAATTTAGAGATACAAAAATCATCGTTAAAGATGCTTGCTTTGATTAAGATGCTCATTTTGTCTTGCTTGAAAATAGATTGTTTGATCATTTTAAACCTAGAAAAAAAAATTAAATTAAATAAAAAAATGTGTGATTTTTGGGGTTTTGGGGTTTTGAGGTTTTGTTTTATATTCCGAAAAGTTTTTATTTTATAGCCAATCATATCCTTTGGCAGTGTCTTTGTTTCAAAATGATTGTAGGATGTACGTCAATAATTGATACAAATAACCTAAAAAAACAATGTATACTAATTTCAAAATCCAAAACTTTCACTCATTCAAAATATTGCCAAGAAAAAGAAGAAAAAAAAATATTTGATACTCAGTGTGTGAAAAAATCACGTCTTTTTTGTTAAATTTATTTAAATATATATATATATATATATATATACATATATATTATTCTATTTCCTAAAATATTTAATCCTGACAAGTACAATCTTAATGTGCGTTTTTATAATGAACAATGGCCATGTGATTACCATATATTAGTTATCTTCAAGGCCCATAATGAACAGTGGGTGCAAAATAAACATTGACACAAAGAATGAAAGAGAGTGATTTATTGAACAGTTTTGACAGTGACACAATCCATTGCACTCTTGTATTTAGGTCAATCTATTGTTTTTGTTTCATGAAATGTTTTTATTTTTTCAATTCAAAATTTCCAAAATTGTTGTAATTTTATTGGATTTGTTTTGTTTCAATTTTTGCTTTTCTTTTTTTGTTGTTGGGAATCTAATGATTTTGAAATTTCTCAAAAGTGTCTATCAATTGTTTCCGGGAGTGATATTTTAAAATACGTCTAAGTACTTAATTTGAAAATATATTTTTATATTGTAAGAATAGTTTTTTTTTTTCAAAGAATATGGAATATTTTAACTATTTGTGTTTTTAGCCTTCAAAAATTAATTTTTACCTTCTAAATGAAGTTTACACCAGCGATTATTTCTGTTTTGTGTAACAATCTTAAGTAATTGGTCTTTCATGAAATAAGAATATTTACTTATATTAGGTCAAATCAAAGAATTCAAATTCAAAAATATACATTAATATTATGAATACACATAATCTATAATAATAATTTCTGACTATAATTGTCAGAAAAAATAAAACTCATATAATTCAAAAAATAAAACATCTTTTCAATATTGACAATGCACATCAATTAGTGTGTTCGAATTAATTTATTTACTAATATATCATTTCATAAGATCATACTCTTTAAACAGTACTCACATCCATCAATTATACATGTCTTTGGAAGAAACAAATGATAGAAAAAGAAAAAAAAAGGAAAAAGAAAACAATCTCTATATACATATTTATGTATATACAAAAACAAAATCAACATCTAGAAATTTGTAGTCCAATAAATTGAAACACTTGATCAATAGTAGATTCTCTATCTACTTTTTTTTTTTTTTTTTTTTTTTTTTTTTGGTTTTTTCCTTGTGAGAATATCTTTCCTTTTTTTTTTTTTTTTTTTTACTATGTAAATATCTACCTACAAATTCTATGAGCATGAAACTCACTATACACCCAATTGTCATGTGTATTACTTATGCATTTATATTCCTCATGCATATAAGATGAGCATTTTTAATATTGAAGATTGATAGCAATTGATTGATTGATGGCTATGAGTTTCCCTTCACTTTCGAATATCACCTTTGCAATCTTCTTTTAGAAAACCCTAAAAAATAGACCAATATTTTATCTCTTGATCAACCACAAGACCTTACCAATCCACACCACAAGATCATACAAAGTCATAAGCTCACATTCTAAATTGTTTACCTACCTTTTAATTTAATAATTTAATAATAATAATAATAATAATAATAATCATGATAATAAGAATAGGTGGTTATATTTTTGTTGTTGCATTTGTTGAATTGTAAATAATTTTAGTGCTCACATTTCTGTTTGACATCATCTTCATTTGATATCCATTACATGGGAAAGAGTTAGTGAATCACTTTGTTATGTTTTTTTTTTTTTTTTTTTTTTTTTTTCAAAATAAGAAATTAAAATTCATTTCAATAGTCAATAAAATATAATACCAACATGATTAAATATTAGTAAAAACATATTCTAATATATTTCTGAGGTAAGTAATCATGGTGTGTAAAATAATGATATGTTCTTGGCTTAGTACCATGAATTACAAACTAAAACAAATACACCCTAAAAGAAAAAATCACATAAAAATCACATAAAACTCTAATGGACTTTGCAAAAAAAAAAAAAAAAACAAAAACAAAAACAAACAAAACAAAACAAAAACAAAAACAAACAAATCCACAAAATCAAGTTTTAAACAAAGTACACACACATATGTATATCTGCATGTACGCCTAGAATTTATTTATTTTTATTTTTTAAAAAATCATATTATTAAACAATAATCAAGGCTATGTTAAGACCTTTATTATTAATGTTAATATCATTTTAAGACGAACTGTTCATAGATTCAAATGGTCTTTTGATTTAAAAGGGTTTATAACACATTTTCAACAAAATTTGTTCACAAAGAGAATCACAGTTCACTTCAAAATAATTTAAGTGTTAGAAATTAGTTCAGAAGATTATTAATTTGACCTGCAATGGCAAAAACAGAAAACCGTAAACAAAACAAAATTACTAATTAACAAGTTCGACAGATACACAGAACTGCAAAACTAATCTCACACACACACACACAGACACCAAAGGACTATAATCAAGCTTACAAATTATCTTCAATTCAACGGAGTTCCCTCCAAACCCTAAAATAAAACAAAGGCAACAAACAAATAAACAAACAAATAAACAAACTAACTAACAAACAAAACAAAACTCACAAAAACGAAGACTACAAGTAAAACATGCTTTGCTCCACAATAAGGTAGCCGGCGTTGAGAGCAAAGGTGTTTCGAATCGTCGGAGACGACTCGTAATATTTTAAAAGAATGTTCAGGAGTTTTCATGAGAATAAACTTTTGAATTGAATAATCCGGGAATAAAACTCGCATGCAACTAATAGAAAAATAGAAATTTAAAGAGGATGATTCGTGCATGCAGTTAATTGAACTTAAAAAACTACCGAAAAACCAGAGAAATTCAGAAACATAGTTGTAACCGTCACGAGGTTTGATTTCAAAAGTGTTAGAAGAGAGTCAGCCTTCGTTGGCGGTCGGATTTCAAAAACCACATGTTAGAGTGCGTGTGCCCTCTCGTTGATCAAATCCAGCGCCTCAGCCTCAGTAATCAATCAATCAATCCGCGACTGTACAAACCGAAGTCCGACGACCAAGTAAAACTAAACCGCACTCCTCAACACAAAGCTGCATCACGTCTCCTTCACCAAAGTTGATGAAAAACCTCGCAATGTCGCTTGGAATTAAGCAATATGGACAAAGAGCATCACAGCAGGAAGCAATCGGAGACCCAAATCCAGATCGAGAGCTCAAATTATCGTAAAAATTTAACAAAAAAACAATTGTTACAGAAATCGAAATGCTGAATTTGATAACCGCGCTTCTCGATTCACCGCACGCAAGATTCCAGCCGCCATGAACTTGAATCCGCATCGGCATTCGCAGCACGATCACTGCTTAGCAAAAAGCTGCATGTGTGTTTTATTCTACATGTGAAATTTATTTATTTACTAGTTTATTGATTTGTTTATTCATCTTTGAAGGTGTTTCAGAATTCTTTGATGTAATCATCAGATGTGATTCGTTTTTATTTTATTTTATTTTGTTTGTGTGTGTTTATGAGTTTTTGACAAATACAACATGAAACTCGATTTCTTCTTTACAAACTTTGATGCTTATTGCTTGAATTCGTTGTTGTATTAACCGCCTGTAGTTTAAAATAGTATTTAAAGTGTGTTTCGATTATGTGTTTGAGGGAATATAAAATCAACTTAAGTAAATCTTAAATCAAGCCATTGTTGTTTTTACCAAATTACACTAATTTGTATCATATACAAATAAGATAATGTGTATAATACATAAAATAAAATAAATAAATGTGTACATGATACATTTTAGTTTTGAAACAAAATAAAATTTGAGGCAAATTATATAGTAAATTATTTTTTAATTTATTTTAATGTCTACTTAAGTGAATTTACCATGTTATTGATAAATATTGGTTATAAGGAAGGTTTGAATACTGATTTTATCCACACAACAATTTACATTCAATTAGTAAATTTTTATTCTTATTTAGAAAAAAGTATTCTTCAATAAAAAATATAATTGCAGATTGTGAAATCTTTATACCATATTTAAAATTTGCACTACTAATGTTAACAAATTGGATATTAAATGATGGTTTTGAGATTTTTATTATAAAATCATTTTAATTTATAAAATTTATTTCCCACAATCACATTATACACATTACATTATTTTTAATATTTTTATAACAAAATCCAACGAGATTAATTAAATTTTATCAATACTAAAATTTTGAAAAACAAATAAAGTATATGATATTAATTATTTTATATATTTTTCAAGATGATTTTTGAAAAAGATTGTAATTTAAATTTTATAAAAATATAAAAACATGGATTAAGATATCAACATTGTATTATAATATTTTAATAAAAATTAACAACCACTGTAAAATTATTCAAAAATATTTTTTTGATTGCATAGAAGTTACTTTTGCTATCATTTAACAAAATCTCTTATAATTTATAATTTCAAAGTTATAATCACATACACACATATCTATTTATATATATATATATATATATATATATAGAGAGAGAGAGAGAGAGAGAGAGAGAAGAATGTTAAATACACCCAAGGTTTTATATTTATTATATTCTAAAATATTTATTATATTATAATATTAGAAAATCCTTGCATGATTTTACCTATTATTATTAAAATTTTAAATTAATCGTGTATAATCAAATTTTATTTCTATTATTATTTGAATAAAAAAATATTTTTTGTTAAAATTTAAAACATTCTTAAAATAGTGTAGATCTAAAAGATTAAAATTTTATTTTAAAATAGTTAAAATAAAATAAAATAAAACAATATCAATTTCTTGATCTGATTTTTTTTATTGAATTATATTAGTTTTTAGAAAAACTTTTGTTGTTGTACAAGTTGTAATCGACATGAATATTAATCAGGTGTGAAATTTTTTTCTATATTTTTTAGGAGTCAAATACAAACTAAACAACTACATTAAAGTTCAAAGTCAAGTATTTGATTTTTTTAATATATAGATATATGATTAATCTTTATGAAAAGTAATGGTAAAAATTTTACTTATATATATGTATATATATATATATATGTATATATATATATATATATATATATATATAGTTCCTACTATGACCTAAAATATTTTCAATTTTTATCTTAAATAAAATATTTATATGTTTTTTTAGGTTTTTTATATTAATTTTTTATATTTTATTATTAAAATATTCTAAAAAATTTAGCTTAATACTATATTGTTAGTCTATAATATTTTTTTGTAAAATTGATTTATTTAAAGATGTTGGTTGTGTTTTGTAAAGAAGCTTTATTTTATTTTATTTTATTTCTATAAAATGCATATCTTTTTTTTAATAGAAATTTAATTAATCAATCTCTATATCTTTGATTTGAAACACTTCTTTTAAAAAACACAAAACAAAATAACTATAGTCAAATAGATGTTTGATAATTCTTAGACATATTACAATTTTTTTCCATAGAACAAAATGTGCCATCAATATCAAACAACCCACAAGCATGTGCACAAATTGAACTAAACCAAACACACATTGTCCCATTGTTGTCTATGATATCAATTTCTACCCATCAAAAGTTGTATTGCACATAAAAGAAACATGAAACACAACATTTTTGTTAAAGATCATGGATCTGATGAAGGATACACCAACCAACCAAATAGTGGTGTAGCCCTCCCAACCCACATGGCACACAAGGACTTTCATTTTTGTACACAACAAAGAGGACGCATCAAAAAAAACAAATCATTCGCCTCCTTCCCCACCCAAAACAACAAACCCACTTCCTACCAAATGGTACATAAAAAATCAAAAATAAAAAAAACATTTTTTTTCCCCAAATGGGTTTCACTCTTGTTTACCAATACACGAATCAATCCATGAATCAGTCAATCAGGCAGTTTCATGTTGACAGAAAAGTTGCAACAAAGAGCACCATTTATACAAGCAAAAACACTCACACACACAGGCAGCGTTGCTTGTGGGGCGACGCTTTTGCATTGCAGCGCAAATTCGAGCTCCGACGCTCACTTTTGCTGCATGCATCCATGAATTTCGAAGCTTGTCCCACAGTTTTTTCATGTCAATGAAACCATAGCACAACTAGTTTGGCATAAAGCCAAGCAGCGGCTCTCAGAAGGATCCAGAATAAAGGAAGCGGGGAATTCTGTGGTGGGAGGTGGAAGAAGAACAAGTGATCGACACTGTTGCTTGCGTTTTTCTGGCTGGAATGATTTGGGCTTTTATTAGACGGTTGCAGGCTTTCGATGCGGGCAACGCGCCGGGAGCGAGTTCTCCCCATCGCACGGTTGGATGCTGAAGCGAGTGCGACTGCTTGCCTGGCGATGGGAGGAGCTTGGTTACAAAACAAAACAAAACAGAACAAAAAAAATCGCGAGGTGGGTTCAGTTTTGTGGTGCGAGGGGAGCGGGCTGGATGTGAGTCGGGTGTGTATTTGGTGATTTTGCTTTTTCACCAATCGCACCGGATTTGTGAACCGGTGTCGGGAGGGATTTATGAGTGAGAGCGTGGGTGGGGAGAGATTGTTAAAAAAAAAATCTGCAAACCCTGGGCCAGTGAGAAGCAGGCTGCATAACCCGCTCGTGCTTTCAGCATGCGGCGGCTGATAGGGGGAGGGATCCCAGCAGGGTGACCAATGCTCACACAATGCAAGTTTGAGTGAGAGTTGATAGGTTGAGGAGGAATGTTGGTTCCAGATTAGGAGATGGTGAGTCATCGCAAGCAATCCCGTCTCGAACCTATCAGACCTCACCTTGAACAGTCAGAAAGTGAGACATCCAGCGAGTTAAAGTGCGTGTAAGAGAAAGACTGAGTCACATGACAACCAATGCAATAGAAGGCATCCTAGTGGAAAAGGGAGGAGGAGGAGATGAAGAATTCGAGTGATGATGTGTGATGTTTGATTTTTATTCCTCATGAAATGGAGGAGTGCTACTACAGATATAAGAAAAAAGGTCCACATGCAGCATCAAAGTGACACATCGTGACCGCCATGGCCAGAAGATGCCTTCTTGTGAAACTAAAATGGAAGGAGAAAGAATCAGGGGAAAAATAAAGGAAAATCTCATCAAGGAAGCCTTATTGCAAAACAGGGGAACCTCTTATACAACCTCTCCAGAAGACAAAAAATAAACCTTCCGGAGATCAGACCTCTATCGCAACTTAACCGAATTTTCACCAAATTAGTTCCTCGGGATGAACACCAGCGACACCAGCGACACCAGCGGTCAGCGGTCATTGGAATATGAGTCGTAGAAAGAAAAATTGCTCTCTAGAAGAAGAGGAAGAGGAAGAGGAAGAAAAAAACATCGTCGAGAGCTAACAAGTTGAAGGAGGCACAGTGTTGATCCCCTGCCGCTGAAGCTCTGCAATGACGCCCTCCATGGATGGTGGCTTCAGACCCAGAGGTGGGGGAGTCCAGGGATTGGCGAGAGCTTCGCCAATGGCCGCATCCAACACCTCTTTGGACAAATGCGTCTCTATCGGCTTGCTGCACGCAGCAACACCCGCAGCTCGTCCTATTTCACTATCATATGATTGGTTACATAGATACATGGAGCCTGCAAGCATGTCGTCGCCGTAGTAGCAGCTCTCGTCAGGAAATCCTGGCGCCACAATTGGTAAACCCGCATGCGTGGTCGTTACAGGAACTCGCTGCATGGGATGCGAGTAGCAGGCACGAGCTGAGAAAGCGTCGTAACCGGTCGCGGGATGTTGCCAGTATGAGCCATCGGCAGCTTGCCAGTAAGATGGGGTCGCCACAGCAGGTTGCTGCCACATATGTACATTTGAATGATCTACTGTGGGGTAGCCCCAGACCTTGAGAGGAGTGGATATCGGATGATGCGGCGTCTGAAGCTGCGGTTGCATTGCCATGGCCATGGAAGGCCGAGGTTGTATGTGAGGGGTGTGTATAGGTACAAGATAAGGGAGGCCATCGCGCCGTGAGCTACGAGGCCAGGGAGCCTGAGTGTATGTGCGACGATGCGTCCAGGACGCGGCCTCTGCTTCTCGAGCTGCGAGGTGGCGACGGTGGGACCGGTACTTCTGCAAGTGACTGGCGATGTTGTGCCGAGTCAAGCATTGCACGCCCATCAGTTCTAGGATACGCGATGGATAGGCTTTCTCCACACCCAGCTGCTCCACTGCATGGACGAAGCGCCGGTGAAGCTCAGGCGTCCAGTCCACCTTGGCCTTCTTCTTCCCCGGCGCTGCATTTTTACTGGATTTCGGACTGGCTTGATTGTCCTTCCTATCGACACTGCTACATTCTCCACTATCCGAGGCCGACACGACATCGCCCGTCGCCTTGGCCGCCTCCGCCAACAGCAACGCCTCCTCCTCACCCACCTCGTTCCCTGGCACTGAGTCAGGCCGTTCCGACCCTTCCCACAATTCCCCGAGATCCCGAAGCTCTAAATTCTCCGAATTCCTACTACAGTCAAGGCTCACAGACTCTAACAGCTCGCCCTGCTCCCCTCCTCCGCCTATTCGTACACACCCCTCCTCCTCCGCTTTGCTAGTCTCCCCCTCGTCGCCGCAGTCCGGCAGCTTGTCAAAATCCTCGAAACACCGCACACCCACATCTCCACACTCCGCCTCCGTCACAAAATTCAAGCACTCGGCGAAATCTTCGTGGGTGGTGACCACTGCACCGCACGAGGACGAGTTGTCCTGGTCGTTGCTGTTGTTGATGATGTCCTCCTCGTCCCCGAACACCGACCTCCCTTCCGCCACAGCCTCCTCGAATGACGTCGGGCTGGATTTCAAGCAAGGCGAATCGGGCAACCCATCCAACACGCAATGCACAAGCGAAAGCGAGTTGACCTCGACGGCGGTTGATTCATCTATCCTCGCCATGTCCATCGCCATATCTCCATCGCCTTCTACCACCACCACAGCCTTGTGGGTTCCCTTCCTCGACCTCTATACTATCCTCTCCCCCCCCCCCTCCTCTCTCCCCCCTCAGAGGATGGTGGCCTCTAAAAAGGCGTTGCGGATGAAATCACGACGAGCGACGAACCACATCCAAGGATCTCTCACTCTGCCTTTCCTGCATGCCTACTGTTGCTGCACTGCATTACTGCCCTTCAGCAGACATTCGCAGTCACTGTGAGCCGCTTCTCATTCAAACCTCTTTGTTATTTCTTTTTTAAGATTTATTTTCATGACCCAGCTCTTCTGTTCTGGACATGCCGTTCCGAACAGGGCACACTCTCGCTCTCTGGGTTTTGGGGGGGATTAACTAACTTATCCACTCCCTCCTTCGCTATTCCTCTGGTGGTGGCGGTGGTTGTGGTGGTGATGTTGTTGTCGCTGTTCTCTCTAGCCTAAGTCTTGCTTATTTCTTTCGCTTTTTCATGTCACGGCCGAATTAATCTTCTGCTGGTGGAAATTTTTATCTGGGCCAAAATCTTCCTCCCTCGATGCGCTTTGTCTTTACTTTTGCGCCTTCCCGGCCCCGTTTCCAGTGCCCGTCCCACGACTTGTTCAATAAATCCTCCTGGATAATCTGTTTTTTTCTCTCATCTTGCTCTTTGCTTGTTCTCTGTTTGCTTCATTGTGTGCCTCGTGGCGAGAATAGGAGTTTTTATTGGTGTTTATTATTATTGTTATTATTATTATTATTATTAGGAGAATGATTAGGGATTGTTTCAGTTTGAATGATAATATCTAGTGGTCAACGGGAGTAAATTCATTTCGAGCTTGAAAACTTGATGAATGGATATTTCTACAACGAAAGCCCATCTATCCATGCATGGTGCATTTGACCGCTGCGTTGGACTCACGGGCACTGACTGAGGCTCGGGAGATTTGAACGTCCATCGATCATTAGATCGCGGCCTTCATGGTCAGTCCGGGGCTCGTCCATCCGACCATGGTGGATGTTATTGTAAATAGTATGCCGATCATGAATATTGTGGACCACAACAATTTGAAAAGGAGTGCAGAGTTTTGTTTGAATGATCCGGCGCGATGGGGCCCACACGGACATTGAATTAACCAGCACCAGCATGATCAGCGGTAAGTAATTTTCGAAGCTGAGGAGGAACGAAACGCAGCGTACATTAATTAGCAATCTTCCAGTTGAGTACACCCTACTGTAGTTTGCAGGAAAGAATATTTTGCACATTTCAATGATTGATCAGAAGGAATAATATTGGACTATGAGAGTGGTGAAAAGAACAATAGGAAGTGGGGGAGAAAAAAATGGTTCATTATTGAGGATTTCACACGGTATTCAAACCCTTAGACGCAGCACGAAATCATGAGCATTTGAAGTTCGACCACAAAGGAACCTAGTGGAGTGAGTTGTCTTGGACTGAGGACTGTGAGTTTCTGCGTTTCTGTGCACCATATTGATTTGTGGGTCAGAAACCAGCAGCTATGCCTGTGAAGAGCCTACACATGTAAAGTGCTTCACTGACACACTTTGGGGTCATTTTATTTGATTTCGCAGGACCAAATAGGATGCTACTTTAGGGGCTCCCGTTTTAGACCCCTCCTTAGACGACCAGAAGGGCAAAAGCAGCAAGGGATTCCATTGGGTAAGATATATGCGTCATTTCCGCTAGAGAGGTAAGGCAATAGATGACAATGATGATTCGCAAGCACTTCCATGGATTTGGATTTTGGATTCAGGTTACCTATATAGCAGAAAAGTAGTGGTGACATCTCCGTCTGCATACATAGACCTGAGAAAAATAAGACTGTTTTGAATTAATAAAAGGAACTTGTGCCTCGGTATATGCCAACTCAAAAGCACACCTACTTGAAGACCATAGCCTGGATTTACCAACTCGATGCCTGGGTAGGGCCTGGATAATGAGACAAAACAGCGTAGAAAGTGGTTACCCTATTTGGCAGGATTTGACGAGGCTGTGAGGGCGTCTCTAGTTTTACTCGATGTTGGTCGACGAGATATTTCACTTAAAGGATATTACTAGATCAGCCATAATGACCCAAGTGGACCTCTATATGGTAGCGAAGCTTCTCACTGGTGCAAAAGAAACGAAGAGCATAATATCAAAGACAGATGTGCTTACGTCAAGACAATCGAGTTGCCAGACGTTTACACTGCTTTCCGTCCGCAATTCCACGCAGCTTGGGAACGACTAGCATTTATGTCAGACCGTAGTTAGTACTTCAACCTCGCCTCGTTGTGATTTGGTTCGACGAACCATGAAAGAGAATTACATTACAAATTATTTTTGTCGTTGAAGACCCTGAAGAAACATATCATTCATTGTGGCTACGAAATTTATTCAACAACTTAAAATGATGGGAAAACCAATCATTGACGCTAATGAGGTGGACTTGGCCAGAAAGATGAAAGTGCCAGAGGGATTATGAGTATACCACTAGGAAATAAAAGGATTTGAATGGCACAAATAAATCCATTAAATCAGATGAAGTACAAAGAAGCCGTCAACAACGTTATGAACCCGCATTACTAGAACAGAAGAACTACTTCAGAAAAATCCATGAGAATTTAAGCACTGCTTTCGGGCTTGGCAATAGAGGCACGTGATGCCCGCTTCTTTGCCAAACTCTCGCTTCGGTGCTCTCGCTGTTCCTTAAGTCGGAGTGCCAACAGCTTCTGGTACTCGGCAGCTTCGGCCTTCGATTTTGCAACTCTTTCCTTCTTGATAGCAATTCTTCGGCGCTTCCGCTGCAAAGTAAGAGGAGTCACAAGCCTCTGAATTTTGGGAGCTTTGCTGCGCTTCTTTCCTGAGAATCCAAAGAACAAGTCCAACTTCACCAATTAATACTTGACCCGCGATAGATCAAACATCTTAGGAGCTGTTGGAAAACGAAACAAGAGAAATGAATGGTTAAATTACCTGTAGCAGATACAAACGAGCGGCGGTAGGTGTTCACGTATTTTCGCACATCATCCTCCTTGGTAAGGTTGAACAATTTTCGAATCTTGGTAGCCCTTTTGGGACCCCTCATTCTTGGCTTCTCAATGTCGGTAAGCCCAGGAAGGTCATTATCACCTGTGGTCATGAAGAGAGCAGTCACATCATACTTGTATCAGCACAGGCACATCACAACAATTAACGGGTTTCAGAACAAAGTAGATAGTGCAAATAAACAATTTATTGAACAAGACGTAGAGCAGTAGCATTCACAGAGTATAACATGGCAAATCATCGAGGGAGCAAGTCACATGGTATCCCGATTCTTGCGCCACTTGGAACTCATCCTACATGGATTCTAAGTATGAAGCCAACCAAAGGAGTATAACGAATGAAATATCAAAGCCCTAATCACACCTCGCAATTTTAGTTCGGCAAAACGTAGTATCGAAACAGTAAACAAATAATAATAACGAAGAGTACCTTGCTTGACAATAACGAGGTTCAGCACTGAGAGGTCGGGACTCACAATGCACCCTCTAACGGACTTTCGCCTACGCTCGCCGTTGCGCCTCCCGTATCCTCGGAAGCAAGAGACACCTGCCGAGAAAACATCAAGTACAATCGTTAAGAAATTAGATTTTAGTGACATGCAGTACAAGAATGCATGACGACGAGACGCGTATCCAGTACGGATTCCTTGCAGGCACAACTTCAGACCATGAGGTTCCAATTAATCAATATTGTACCTCGGTGCATTAGGAGCTGTACGCGTCCTTGAGTCAACACACCCTGCTTCATGGGAAAACCCTGCTTATCGCATCCTCCCATAATCTTGAAGACATATCCCTTAAACTCATCTCCGAGCTGGTCACCGCTGACCTCTTGAGCGAGCCGCTTGTCATAGAACTGACGCCTGAAATACGCAAAATGGACATGTCAAACCTAAACCCCATGACAAAACACCCAGAGAATTCTGTTCAACCATGAAAAATGGTGCCTCTAGAGACAAACTGACAATCATAATCACAATCCAGAGTTGACAAGGCAGAGCTGATACGAAGAACGACTTCAACACCAGCACTAAACCCTAATATTCTCGTACTGTGACCGGACCCTTATAAAACAACATTAAGCCCACGGCACATTGACAAACAGCATTGCGGCACTACTCACAGCTTAGCGTCGTCATCGATCTCGACCTTCTTCTGGCACCCTGTGGTGGGATTAGCGATATTGAGCTGCGCAAGAAGCAAGCAGTTAGTCCTCTCCAACACTGCAAATGCAAGCACGTCCAAAATAATTCCACCCCTGGAACGGCAACATCAGCAGCATTGTACGAGAGAGAATATGCGGAGCGTACAGCACACCTTCATGGTTAAAGCTGAGCGCCTTCACAAGCGAGGCGATGGCGGATTACGCGGCCTAAGCAGCAATCGAGGTCCTCGCGAAAGAGCTTCATCGAGGACGCCGCCTCTCTCTTCAAGCGTCGCCCTGGATTAGGGTTTGGTCCCTCTGCAGCGTTGCATTCGAAGCTCGGGCAGCGGGGGGGTAAAGTTTTTGTCACGAGCATGGGGAAGTTGACCTGGAACGGGCAGACGGGAAATTTCCATCGGGCAGTAAATATCCTACGTGGTATCGGAAAGCGAGGAAGTTCTGATGCGGACAGGCGGGAGTCGACGTGGCATATGCCAGCGAGGGAAGCTCTGATGGGGGCTAGGCGGGAGTCTACGTGGCACCTGGCAGGGATGAAAATCTAGTTGTGATTTTATTTAGTGTGAGTAGGGTCCCTGCCCGGAGTTTCAAAAAGTAAAAGTATGTGCCTGATTTACAGAATAACTTGTACAACGCAGACAAGAAGTAAAATGAGAATACCATAAAATATTCAAAAGTTTAAAAAAGTGAAAAATAAGTAAACTATATTAACATAAATAATCTTTTCATGGTTGAAAACATAGTTTAGACCCAAATATTAAAAGAAGAAAAGAAAAAAAAAAAAAAAAAAAAGGATCCTCAAAGTGATGTGTTTATTTTATCACAATATTTCATGAACTTTTTCATAAGAAATGATTCAGAGTATTTTTTATTGTTCAGATACTGGTTGCTTGATGATTTGCTAACACGTATATATGTATTTCTATTTCTATTAAATAAGTAAAAAAAAGTAACAATAAGGTCATTTCAACAAATTGTGATTAAAACTTGATATTATTTTAATTATGATTTATATTGACTCTTTCAAAAGATAAGTATATTTTATATTATGAGAACACTGTGACTGTATGTCAGTTTTATTAGCTTTGTATCCTTACATTCACATGATCTTTCCATTTATTTAAATTTCAACTTGGTATGTTTTTAATGAGGATAATAAACGTAAAATTATTGTAGTAGATAACACACTTTTTTTTTGTACCAAAGAACTCATACTGAACAAATAATGAGGCACTTTGAATGATTTATTTTCTAAAGAGAAATTCCAAATTTATAATGCATTAATTAAAATTTATTTATTTATTTATTATTATTATTTTTAATAATCATCACTTCCATTTATTGTTCAAAATAATTATGATGATATTTCTTCTCACTATATAATGCCATACTTTAAAAACTATATTTTTTGAAATTTGACTGTTTAAACATTTCAAGGGTTTCAAATTTGATACATTTTTTTAACATTTTTTGCATTTATGAAGTTGCAATTGAAAGAAAGAGAAAAGGAAAAAACAAAACAAAACAAAAAAATGTCTAGAAATTTATGATAATTGAATAAAAATTTTGAGGATGATTTTATGTTGGAAGATAAATGAACTGCTTGTATGGTGATTATGAGAATTTGCTTAATTTATTTGTAAATTAAACTGTAAGACAAAACTACATAATACATACATACATACATACACATATATATATATGTATGTATGTATCATTTAAGACATCACAGCTACTAGCTGCACGTAATATGAAAATGAAATCTATTAATTTTCTATTTATGTTAATCACTAAAAAGGGCATATCACAATGATAATATTAGAAACAAGCAAAGTTGACTATAATAACATAAACCAGCTTTTGGCATTCTAATGTCATAACATATCCATCACAACTGATATGACATTTGTCACAATTTGATGTGACATCTGACATTAAAAATAAAAATAACTATTTTATATTTTATATTTTTTGAATTGAGTTATTTTATAGTAATACGTTCATTGAAAATTAAGATACATAAAAAAACGAGATATGTTTCAATGTAGATTTCGACGTCAATTGCAATTTTTTAATAAAATTGCTCATCATGAAATAATTTCAACGAGATGAATGATTAAACTGGATTGTGTAAATATTTAATAGGATTATCAGTACGGTTAATAAATTGTTATTACCATTTAAAATTATATTATTGAGCTTATTAAATCAGATATTTAATTTACTAAGACGAAATGTTTTTAAAAACTTGGACATAGAAGCAAGCTTATTTAAACTATCTGCACATATATGAATTATTATAAAGTGAATAAAAGTTAAATAAAGATATCAGTATATAAATTGGATTTAATTTATGAATAGTACTATGTAAAGATTAAATTTAACAATAACATCATCCAATTTGGTTCTCAAACTATGCATTTTCCACTTATCTCAAAAAATAAAATTATTCAAATTGATAATAATGCAAAGAAAATCATTTTCAGTATACATTTTAAAACCACAACATCATTTAGAATTTTTAGAATTTTAATAAATATTATAAAAAATCTTCTATGTCTATATATATATATATATATATATATATAACTTTTTAAGCATCAAAGTAAAATTAAGAATAATATACTCAATACATTGAAGAATAATATTGACTAAAAAAGCTTATAATTTATGTTATGTCTTTTGAGATGTTTTAAAGGTATAAATAATACATTCTATCATATATATATATATATATATATATATATATTGTAAATTAAAGATTGTGATATTTAATGATGATATATGTAATAAATTTAAAGTAAATTTATTCCAAGATATGGTAGCTGATAATATGGGACATAGTGATGCCAATTTATAAATCATGTTTCTCATTAATTGAAATTATTGTTATGTAATGTTTTAAAATATAATATTTTGTTACCATTTTCCACTTATTATGCATAGATCTTGCATATGTTAAACATGAACAATAAATCATAAAATAGGTTATTGATTTAAACAACAATAGATCTATGTTATTGACAAAAGATTTACCCAAACAATCCAAACATTTGCTTATTCTTTCAAAAAAAGAACAGGAAGTACATACACAAAAGTCATCTTTTGAAATTCTATACTATGTTTATAAACTTGAAAGACTGGAATAATTTTAGAAATACTTAACAAAATCATTAATCAATTGCAGAATAATTGCAATGATATGTGATGAAGCAAAAAAGTTAATAAGAACGATAATAATATTTTGAGTTCATTAATTGTTAAGGTCTTGCACAAGGCAAACAAACACCTGAGGAAACTAAGTGATTTCTTAATATGCAAATAAATAATTTAAAAAATGTTATATCTTTGTGCTTTTGTTGTGCAATTAGACAACAAGCAAAATGGATATACACTCAAATTGAACAAAAATGCCAAAAAAGTGAAGATAAGACAAAAGAACATATTATCCATAATAAAAGTGATTGTGTCTCTGAAGACGCATATTATTCTATAAATATTTGAGAAGTTGGACAATATTGATTAAAAGAAAGAAAATAGAAAAATAATGGGAGAAAGCAACACAAATATGCACAATTAAAGAACAAAGGAAAAAAGAAAAAACACACAAGATAACATCATTAAATGAGACAAAAATTGCAAAAAAATAAAAAATAAAATTCCATAGATCATATGTGTGTATATATAAATATATATTAAGATTTTTTTCTAAATTTAGAGATTTGGATGCTTCTATTACAAAAGAGTCAAATAGATAAAAGAACAAATCAATCTAAAATCAGAAGTAAATCTGATTTTTTTAATAATAAGTCACCATATAAAGGCATTTAAAGAGTTTCTACTATAAAGAATTTATAGATTTTATATATCTAAATATACATTTTTCTCATATTTATATTTGATCATCAATTTGTAATCTATTTAGAAGTAAAGTGGTATTTTTAAAACAAAAGAAATTAGGTTTGACATTAGAAGATTTGATTCAACTTATTTACTTAAGACTATATGAAGACAAGACATATGACAATAAGTTTATAATAAAAAATTAATTATCAAAATAAAGATATAAAGATAATTTAATACAATTTTTTTAAAAATATTTTCTTTGCAGTTTTATCTCAATGTAGATAAAGCAACAATAAAACATGGTGCCAAAAATAATAGTTGTTATTCAATCACATATCTTAAAAGTTTAAAAATATATTTAAATTATTATTATTTAAAACTAAAATCAAATATAAAATATTTTTATTATGGCCTGAATCAATGCTTTGTGTGAGTTGCTTTGGAATAGATAATGTTTAATCATTACATAATCTTTGCAAAAATACTAAGATTCTAAAAATTTTTCTTTCATTTTCTATTGATTTTTTTTCACTAATTTATTATTTTTCATAAAACATACTATTTTAATTAGAAATTCTTCTTATAAAATTTTATTTATTATAATTATTATTTATTTTATTTTAATGAAGTACACACTAAAAGAATTAAATAATTTTTAGATGCATTTTTTCTTTGGCTTAAGTTTTTAGACTTAATATATTATAAAATAATTAATTATAATAATTATCTCATATAATAATTTTTTTATATACACAAATTCTAAATTAATCATGTCATTGAAATCTAGATTCAAAAAATATATCAAATTCTGCCAAATTTCACAAAATTTGTGGTTTTTTTTTTTTTTTTTTTTTTTTTTTATCAATAAAGAATTACTACATGCTAGGATTGCTTCTAATTGCTTTACATTAGAAATACTAGCTCAAATGCTCCTAATAGTCATAGACATCTATATTTACTTCAATAATTATCTAGATGATATGAATAGATAGAAGTAAATAAAAATAGATATATTTAATAATTTTTTGTGGAAAAGATTTTTAAAAACTTCATAAATGTATCTTTGTCTTTTATACAAGCCTATAAATCATTTGTAGGTTAAAAACTTGATCAATAATTTGGTAAGGTGTAGCACATATTGGTGACTTATTGTTCAAGTTAAACATTTGGCACATATATAGAAAGCTTTTCTTGTAAGTAAGTCATATATTTGTAAATTAAACATGTTGTTGTATAAAAAAAATTCTTGTTTGAGAATGCACCAAGTACCTATGTGTGGAAGGTAAATAGAATATGTTACAATAAGATCCTATCAACTCTAATAGAATCTTGAATAAATTCTAATTAATCCTTAATTTTAAAAATTAAACTTGAATAAATCCAAAAGAATTTAAAAAAAAATTACTAAAAAAATATAAAAAATTCATAAATTAATTTTTAAAAAATACATAAATTCTAAAAGA